ACAGTAACAAATAGACTAAGGGCTTCCAACTCCCAACTGCAATCTGTAATCCATCGACAACTAAATTCATGCTATTGTACAGGGTGTTGAGTTCTCGACAATAATTTGGTTCTTCTTGTCACAATTAAAATTAGTTAAAAATGAAAATAACGATGGCAAACCTATATTGTTGGAGTGACTTTTTTTTAGCTAAAATTGCATTGTGTAAATATGTCGTTTTGTAACTAAATTTTAAATGCATTTTAAATACATTGTTTTACTGAAAACGGATAAGTCGCGGTAAAAAGCAGAATAGGAATGCAAAATAGGCAAAAAATAATTAATAATAATCGTAATGTGGATATCGTGAATTGTTCAATAATGAAGAAAATTAAAAATAAATGAGACCTTGTGTGCTTATTTTTAAAAATATGAACATCAAAGGTTTGCACGGAATCGTCCAACTCGATAAGAATAGTTAATATACTTACTTTAATATACATTTTCTGTAATGTATTATATTAGAGTTATGGAGAGCCAATGGCGCGTTCGCCGAACTAATTAAGTGCGTTGTTATTATTAAGTGTCAAGCTCATACCGCTTACCTTCTTATCGCTCGATGGGTATAGAGGAAAAATAACATGCCTGACGCGAAAACGCCAGGCCGTATTATTAAGCGCAATTTTTTTTACTGACTCAGTGCAGTATACAGTTTGTTGTCAAAAAAATTCTCTACTGATTCAAATTTTTTGACCCAAAGCAATTTTATGGGAGTATACTTATATTTATTATTTACGATGTTAGTTACGATAAGTGGCTAAAAAGAAAATTCGTTTCGTATTCCAAATGGTTGCACATGTGGTACAAAGGATGTTCATTATTGGTGTGTCAATACTGAAAGGAGACTAAAAGTCTGAACTTTTCAGATACCGAGTTGTGTTGTTTAAAAAAAAACCTTTTAATATATATTTTTTAATTTCTGCTGGTTTCGTCAGTCTGCCATTTGTATCGCATATTTTTTACGAAAAAAATGGTACGGCACTGACAAATTTGTCACGATGAAGCTCCTAGTCATTTCAGTGTATTTTTCCGAAATTATTTATATACCGTTTGTTCTAATCGGTAAATATGTGCTTAAAAGTTCAGAGGATTTGGTGTAGCAGTATATAGAAAATATGCGATAAAAATCATACTAATCATTTTCTTAAAACGAGATCAAGAATTATTAAAGGCGGACCTGTATTCTATATATTACAAATATGTTTTTGAAAATATTGCATAACGGCTATTTTTGCTATGTATTTACGATAATGCACCTTTTTTTAAATCAAAATTAGGTTGCGAAGGACCATACTCGCCTGCATTTGTTTATGTAAAATAATATGTAATTTCTACATTCCTATTAATTTTTTACTTTCGTTGAGTGATACAAAGGGACTAGGACTGATTTCACATGCCATATTATTTTATTGTTGGAACACCCGGTTTTACACCCAGAGCAAATACACTATACAAACTAAATAGAACTTTATATCACCGATTTTTAAATATTAGTGACCTAGATACATTCACGTTTTGTTAACATTGTCGGGTTTATAGTCAAAGTTGACACAAACCAAAACCATTCCACCTAGACGGAGGACTGTTAAACAACTTGTTACAACCTACACTCCTTGAAAAATACATTTACCAAATTATCAAAAATTACATCCGAAGTAAAGAAAAGTGCTAATTAACAGATTTTGTTCCCTCAGTTTTATTAACCTTAATTTGCAAAATTATTTTTGTCAAAAAAGGACATACTTGTAACCTTTTAACATGTAATATTACCCAGTTAAACATTAGAATTTTATACTGCCAAGCTAACGCTATTGATAGGTAAACTTTAAGTTTAAAGGTAATAATGTCTACGAATTATCATAACCTGAGCCCAAGAAATGTGCAATGGATAACCCAATGCTTTCTTGAATTTCATATATGAATAGGAATAATAAAATATTATATTTTTTCATGAAAATCAATCAAATTGAACCTACAGTAGCTGTGCTTATCGTAAGTGTAAGTGTAAAGTGTCATTTTAAGTCGTCAGCTTCATTTGTCAATTCTGTCATCCCTCGTCACTCAGTAAATATATTCGTGTTGTTGTGCAAAAATATACCCAAAAACTAATGGTGGAAAAAAAATAGTATGCTACACGTTGATAAATTGTTTTATTTTTTATCAAACTTGTTATATAACATTCCATTCTTTTTTTTGTCTATATAGTTCACGGTCATAATGACATCTAAAAATTTATTCTCCTTTTATGTTACGACCAAATGTTTAATATTACAGTCATTTGGTACATTGCTCCAGAAATTGTAGACCGCAGTTGAAATAAAAAATAAAGTTGTAAATCTCGACAAATTGGTGGATGCGTTCCTCGAATACGTCTTTCATTTTCAAAATGCAAGGAAGTTTTTGGAAAATCGGAAAATTGGATTGCACCAATCTTCCTCCCATTTTTTTTCGTTTCTTATGCGTTTTTTGCTAGACTAGATTGAAAAAATCCATATCGTAATGTGCATTTAATGCAACCAACAGTTGAAAAATTTGATTAACTTAATCGAAATATTGTTTTAAAAGCTGTTATGTTAACTCAATCGCCAATCGGAACATTTATATTAAAAATTGCGCTAGCTAGCTAATGGTATTACATATTTTGTGGAAAAAGGCCGTCGTCACGACATATTTATAAAAATAAGTTATTTACTCAAGTCGTCGAACAAATATTGAAATATACCGAAGCATTAACGAATTTCTGCTTATTAATAATTATCGTTTCTCAACCTTTTGACCTTTACACAGACTTTGTTCTTATCTTTCATCTGTATGAACGCGTTTCCATAAAATAAACATATCATTTGCTTCGATATTTTTCTTTCGAATAAATACGGTTCGCGATCTTTAACTCGATATCTTGTGGCAAAGGAATCATGAAAAATCCAAAGTTAAATTGTTTCCTCATCTCTGTCCTTAAATAAAACTTACAGGAAGTCAGAAACGTTTGTTATGTTCGTAGCAGGATAGCTCTCATTCCAGATGTTAACCAAGACCAAAATGCATATAACAAATTGAAAGATCAATCGTATAGCCAAACAATTATGTTAGTATACTTAATGAAAATGAAAAAAATGTACACATAAATATTGCTAAAATAGGATCTCGTGTGCAGAAAAAGCAGTCGCAATTTCCCGGAACTGAGCGAATTATAAAACACTGATACGGTTGTTATAGAAATTTATTTTATAGATATATAAATCATTAATAGTATACCAGATTAATAATATTTATCTTTTACTGTTCGATATTAATTTTGCGATAAGGGCTGCGCAATTCTCCAATTGCTTACGCAATAATCATGGGGCTAAAAGGACATTAGACTCGTTTCAAGTAGTTTTTCGTGTATTTTCAGTGCGATGGAATTTTGTTATTATTAATTTATAAAACCCACACAATGCAGAAGCTGTTGACTTCCTGCGTAGCCCTAACCACAAAACATTGTTTTACGTCAAGCGTCTGCATACTTTAACTTAACTTTGGGTTATTTTATTGAATTTAGATATCATAATGAAAACGTGTATATTAATATTTTTCATGTTTTCAACTTTATTGTAAAAAACGCTTTCCATTCGATTCAGGGAAAGGATTGAAAATATTTCATTGTTATTTAAACCAACTCAAATAAAATTCGAATAAAAACACATTTTATCAGTGCAAATAATTTTTCACATCTCTCTATCACCCTATGTTATGATATGAAATGGAAACCAAACTTATTTTCTATAGGCTTACGGGAAAGCGAACATTCTTTTGCCTGACTTTTAGTTGGTACTGTTATACGTTGTTGAATTGACTTCCGTGCGTGACTACAGCAGAATATTTATACAATTTTTCTTTAAAATTTTTTACTACTGTTCTTCGTATATTATATAACAAAAGCTTGACGGACAACCCTGAACGTAACTATAACTATAGAATGTATCATCAATAACTGGAAGCGAATATATAAAAACCCTGAAAATGTCATTCGTTCAACATTCAGTTTGAAAACTTGAAAAATCTCAATTTACCTTCGCTTGAAAAAGTAGTATACAGGTCGTTTTCTAAATGAATATACGTAAACTCCGGGAGAATATAACATACTTCACGTCTATTGAGATATTTCATCCAAATCGATTTGCACGAATCAAAAATGTTATCAACTGCAATAAATAATGGAATTTCACTCACACACCTTTTTTGTCATTTTTTTTAGTAAGTGCAGGCAAATCAACCTCCAACATCAACGCCATCCCTGAAGAAAATCGCACTTAATGGCTAGCAGACTCAAAATAGTGAAAAAAACCGGAGAATAAGACTTTTTGACAATAAAATGGCCAATTCGCCTTGGACATATATTTTTCGTTTTTACTTTATTCTAGAAAATGTTGATCAGTTATCTACTTTCATTATACTTTGGTTTATTGGGAGCAAAGAAAATAGACCAAATTTGATTGAAACATTATTATTGCTTTTCAACGATTTCAACATTTACTTTGGAAATAACAATCAGAATCAGAAAAAACTGCCCATCAAATTATCAAAATTTCATGTTTATTAGCGCTGAAAGAACATTCGGTATAGTTTTAATTGGTTCGCGCAATGGACATAATTTGACATTTCTTTGTGTATTTAAGCAACTTGGAAGTTACTTTACTTAGCAATATTCTTCTAGTAAAGAATTTCAATAAACAATTTTAGTTCCTGTCAAAACGCTCCAACTGCATCGATGTTCAGGCTGCGGAGAGTTTTAGTGAAGTTTTAACTTATCCGGGCGTCTTTCGTTATTTATCGAGACGCTTTAAATCGACGCACATGTTTCGGTGAAAACCCGCCTTAATCCACGTAGCACCGTCGCGTAGTATTTAAAAAACGATAAAACAATCGCGAACAAAGCATGCTGCAAAATAATCTGTGTATATAAATTTTTATCAACTCACCGTATGTTCGCTGATAATCTGGTTTGGCTGTCATATTGCTGTTATCAACCGCTATCAACTGACTATGGGTTACCACTAAAAACTGTTTGCCGCAGGACACAGTTGCACATCAAGTCGGTTCGTGGTCGGTACCCAGTACCATTAGCCATTCGATTCACGACACCATTTATTGGGAGGGGGCGAAGTGGTTGCCGTTTCGCGACGGTGGTGGGGGATCGATTCCTCGATTTTATTTGTTGTTTCTGGCTCCTGCCGGATGACCGAAGCTTTTATGAGCTCGTCCGACTTAATTTGGGATTTTTTTTTGACAGGTACGACATTCGGGATGCCGAGTTTCAAGTTGTTTCATTATCGTCGCAGTCTTATATTAAAATTTTGTTTTTTAGTTTTGTAAATAATTAAAGTCGTTTCGGGTTGGCGTCACTGGTAAATTATCTTTTTTCTTTCATTTTCTTCCGATATCCGGGACCATGTTTTCGGGTCCTCAAATCTAAATATTTCGAGATAAATACGACTTTAAGCAAAATGAGCGTTGATACTCTTGTCTTAGCACCACTACTTTTCTAATCTAAAAAAGATTCCATTAAATTTTTTTTTTTTAATGTAGGAGTACACCAATCTTGTTGACATTTAAATGTTCTCCTTCGAAAAAAATATAATCGATATGTTACGGAAATTCCGAGAACAACACCGGGTAAATATTTTAATTAGTTGACAGATACAGTGGCCGTTGGATAGAGTTTGTGCTCCGAGTTTAATTCGAGTGTAATTTGGTACAAGAATGAACAAATACACAAAGGCATCGTTATACTTTACTTGTCCGATACATACCGTTTTGAATTTTATCAGATAAACTGTAAAAAATGAAAAAACTGTCTATTGTACTATAATTCCTTTTCCTCAAAAACTATTTTAGATGGGACAGATAGGAAGTTTAGGCACTGACACTATCGCCTTTTTATTAAAAAAAAAAAGAAATTGCTGACAATTTGTAACATTTGAAAAATTGCACCTGATAAAAAACAATTTTTTTCTGCGATTTTAAGCGTCATTCCTTTATATTTAATATTTTATATCATACTTATTACATACTATACATTCATACTACTCTTTTCATTGTTTAGTTTTTGTGACTATTCTGGGTAAAAACAATATTATTATTGAAAAAAATATATGTTTATGTTATAAATTATATTTCAATATAATATTATAATATAATATATTCCAAGCCATATTTCAATTTAATAGTCCATTTATTAAGTATAGACGAAAATAAATATTTGTTTTCTGTATATTTCAAATGGTGCTTTCTTAAGTATTTCTGCATAATTTTAATAATAATAATAGTTTATTTGCTGTATTTACATAATCAGCGTCTATTTCTAATAACCAATTTTCAAGCAAAAAGGAGGCCAATTTAAAACAGATTCTAGTTCAGCCCCCAAGGTAAACTGTAAATAATGTCTATTAATACCAATTACACTAAAGTTCTCCTCTACAAAAAGCACACTGTACGAAAAGGAAGGAAAAAAAGACAGAAAAAGAGTTACTCGTACGATGCCCACTTATAAAAAAAGGTGTATATAAAAAAAACAAAAAATAAAAACAAAGTTACTCATATAATACTAACTTAAAAGAAACTTTTTATATTGATATTTAAATGCGCCCACTGATATTGTATTTAAATTGTGCCGAATATTTTTAAAGAAAATATAAATATCATATGTGATATGGCAGCGAAATCTTAAAGGGGTGCGAGTGCCATAAATGAATCAAAGTCTATACTAAGGAGGCAGGGGCCATATACAACATTCGCAAAATTAAAATGACTGAGAACAAGTGAATCCGTCAGTCTGATCTTGTCACGTCTAGACAAAAGATGTCGATGGGGACAAATACCTTTAAGACTGAAATATGCATAACATTTGTTGAAGTGCGATTTAAATCTTAACTCAGAATCAAAAATTAGCCCAAGATTCCTGCTCTTATTGGAATCATCGTCACTGATTTTGATTTTAATGTTTTGACATAATCTATCATTATGTTTTCCTAATAACAAAAAAAAACAAACAAAACACACCAGATTTTTTAAGTCCTCGTGAATATAAAGTTGAGCGATATTTACGTCTTTCGGGAAACACGAAATATATATTTGTGTGTCATCCGCATATTGTGGTACTCTTTATGTGTTTGTTTAGCAATTGATATTATCAGTTATACTTATGAGAGCAGTGGTACAGCTGAATCCTGGCCTGAATCCAGATTGGCACATTGGTTAAATGCAAAATCGGTCAATGTTCCCTCATTTGCAAATTCATAATTTTTCTATTACTTTTGTAATTATCGGTAAAATATTTATCGGTCCTAAATCATTAAAACTGTCAACATTTTTTTCTTACACGGAGGGTGCACCTTGGAAAGAAATGGGAGGAGTGTGTTAAGGCATAATAAAATCATTTCCAGATTAATTTGATCTGACCCGGTAGCAGCAGATTTTAATTCAAACATGTACTTCCTTACAGTTGTGTGGAATTGATATTTGGAATTAACTTGTAGAATAGTATTGTTTCTGTAAAAGTTTAAGATGTCTCTCTTTATAGAGTTATTCTTTTTGGATTTTAAAAAAGGTGTTTATTTAAAGCTATGGGTTTGTTAAACTCGTGCGGTATTTTATTTCACTGATTTTTGCAATGTTTCTTAAATAATACTCATTTATTATTTACTTGTGCGTGATGCTACCTACTACTTGTCTTACTCACTTTTTTATTAGAAGCCAAAAATATTATAGAAGATAGTACAAAAAGTAATTGAGGAAACTAATGATGGATTAAGAACAAAATCATTTTGTGTCAAAAAATTCCCATTTACAAATACGTTCAGAAATTGCCAAAATAATATAAAACCTTGACACGCAAGTATATAGTAATTTTTGGCTTTAAAAATAATCATGAATCAAATCAATCAATAAAAAAGGCTTAAAAATACTGTAAAAACATCAGAAAAAAGAAAATGCCTAGTCGGCATTGAAGCTACAAAGTTAAATTAATAAAGTTGTGGTATTTTTGCTCCTCATTAAATTTATTGTAATGGAAAAACAGATGTCATCCGATTTATTTAAAAAAATATACCTTTGTAAAAGGGGACGTTCGACACATTTATCCACAAATTGATTGACACCGCTTTTTCTAACATAAAAGTTTGTTTTTGAATAGAAATGGCACGGGCATATTTTAATTTTATATATTTTGCTATGAAATTTCAGATATAAAGCAAATGATTTCAATATTCGAGATTATCATTACGGTTTTGCCACGATTACGAATCATACGTCGTAGACGTACGGTTCATATAGGTAACAAGAAGCGTTGTTAAGTGTGCACAAAGTGTATTGAGCACCACAGAGATGCGCTGCACCAATCGGTATAAACTTGGGTTGGGTTATTTTACTTCAAGTTTAGTTTCATGCAAAATTAGAGAAAACTTTTATCATTATTTTTATGTTGCAATCAGTTTTGATCAGGGGGAATAATATTACTTCATGAATTTAACAGATTTCGTAACTTCCATAAGTTAGTAATAGCGCCAAGTTGTTCACTCTGTATTACGATTTTTTTGGTAACAACTTCTTCAATAACTATTCGTCATTTATATCACCTTCCTCAATTAAAAACCGTAACACGTATTGGTGAGAAGATATTGCTTTTCATATCGAACAACAGAGAAATATATTGGCTAGTTGATACGCTAGTTTTTGAGAATTTTAATTTAGTTGGAGGTCACGAAAATAAATAAAATGCGAACATCATCATATTGAAATTTTTGTATTACTGCTATAATTATTTAGTTGCGAAATCCTTATCTTTCTACATTTAGGTCAGAATGCTATCAGCTTGGTTTAAAAATCACTTGTTTTATTCAGTATTTAATTTGTTCTGCACGGAACCCAAAAGGCTACCCTATTTTTTTCAGATAATTATAGCAAGAAACCTCTCTGGAGCCTAGGTCAAAAGATTCTATATTATTGTAATGCGATGTAATCAGTACAATGCAATTCTGGAGGTGATAGTAAAGCCAAAAGTATGAACAAAAATGTCCTGTAAGTATACGTGCTGCAAAGTGACCCGACAACCGTTAAAATAGATCCTGTTATTTTGATATTTTATAAAATGAATTTCCTTTCAGATTTAGATTAAAAACAATAATCAAGTTTCAATTGTGTAGTTTTCACATTTACAGTTAATAGCTATATTATTTTCTTGTTGGTCATGGGGACAAAAAGTCTCTGTGTATGTTTTGGCTTTCTTTTTTTAAAGTTTTCACATACTACACACCAATAAAAAAACAATTGCTGAAACAATTAAGCCATACCTTTGAATTTGGAATTTTATATTCGTAAGAATGCATTATTATTTGAGCTTCCTTCCATTATTTTAATCAGAACAGTCCCAGAGGGCTAATTTTGCAGCAAGAAAAAAAAAGAAGAAGTAATGTCAGTCTCAAGACTGAGTCTGTTCATTCTATTCTTCCGGTTTACCAAACTATATTTTCAAATATATATTTTTTATCCAAATTGCTAGAAAATTTCATTAGCTAAATGATCTCATGATTCCGTTTATCTTTGCGAAAAGAACAACTTTTATATTTTTGCTTTTTATTTTTTTTTTTATATATATATTTTTACTATAATACTTTTTACAAATCTTATGGATGCCTCCTGCGTCGCTTGTTGATGAATCGAACGTTTCGCTAATCATCATGATGACTGGAGAAACGTCAACAAGTTCGATCCATCAACAACTGACGCAGGAGAAATCCAGAAAATCCTGATACAGCCCCAAAATTATTTTGTTATTTCTGTGAAAGACGTTTGACTGGTTTCAAAAATTTGAAAATTTGCATTTGGGATTCGTTTTTGCGCACGAAAGTCAGCGATTTTAATATATTTTCAGCATCAGATATTCGGCAGATGTATCTTCTTCAGTTTACTCTAAGTGAACTTTGACATTAAAATTGGACTTATTAATAACTGTAAATTGATTAATAACGATTTTAGAAGTTTATTACATACAAAATGAGATATAGGTAATGGGGACTAATAAAGAGTATAGAGCAGCCAACATTAACTTCAAAAGTCAAATTTATGCCAAACAGTCTAATACCCAAACTAGTTAAGGAATGTGCTTAAGCATAAACTTCTTACTTCCTGACCAGTAATATATCTTATGCTGTATATATTAAACTCTGAAAATATTGCGACTTAATTTTAAACTGGAATAGAATGCGCATTATTCCCGCATTAATTTCCGCCCAAGTGGGTTAAAGCAATAACTTTCAATGGTATGCAGTGCTGAATTATAATGTATATAATAACGAAATTATAAACTTAATATTTAACATAGAAATATTTATAAATATTTATTTTTATATAAATTTATAAAATAATATAAACATAGAAAATTGGTTTTTGTGTATGTGACTTTTCTTGGAAAGTGTAATTTTTCCAAAAAACATCGTTTGTAGAAAGCTTTTTTATCATCAATTATGATCTTATTAGTTATTAGATTTAGCTTAAGTTCTTTTGAGTACTTATGTGTGAACCTTTATGTTATTTTACTAAATTTCTGACGGGGGACATTATAATTTGCGTAGTGCGACAAAAAAATCCGCTTTTAAAAGCAACTAGATTTTCATCAATTTATGTAAGCATATAAACTAACAAGCAACAGAGAAACCAATATATCAGTTATACAAAATACAATGAAAACATCTATAACTCGTATTTCCTTATAACCTTAGGCAATTAAATTTTTCGACACAAAATATCAAAATATCACATCGAGTGATCATCTAAAAACCATAATTTTTACTAGCCTTTTTAAAAGAGCAATGAGATCAAACCCTTGTTGAACATGAAATATTATCTTGAAAAATAAACAAGTAATTTTTCAAAAAAATTACATGATATGTCGTTAAAAAATTGCAAGTTTATCCTAACCCTTGAGAAACTTCTTGAGAAAATAAAAACCAAAACAAAATTTTGGTATTTTGTTTATCAAAAGAAGAAAAATACTGTTTAAATACCAGATAATAAGAAACTGAATAATAGGGACCATAAATTACGTTAACTACCACAGATGACTCTTTGATCCCTTGTCATAATTTCGGACATCGTTATTAGCCCTGGCTAGACAAAGCGTTGGTACATTGTCATTAACAAAGGCTTTATTGATGTTATTTTGACCAACTAGTAAACAATGTGTTGTTGTATTATTCATCTGTATAAACTTTATGGAAATATTTTGTCATTGAGCAAACATATTATTGAGGCCAGCGGCGCGCCGTGTAATTTCAGGTGCCTAACACATTCGTTATTTTAGATTGTCCCAAATGAAAATAATGAAGAAGAATGTTTGTAGAGTAATACCACTATATTTCTATTAAACATAAATGTCGTAAAATTACAGCAACTACCAAATAACACAATAAAAAAATTGTCTGCGTTGGACGTTTTGCAATGGAAAGTTCCCACAACCATAATTCTACCAATACCTACGTAACACAAGTGCACTATACAAAGGTAGGTATGACAAATTCAAAATAGCGCAAAGCGACGACTACCGCCAATTCGTTATACGAATGCGTTGCTTATCGCAAATTGAAAGAACCGAGTAAAGTATAATGCGACTTTAAAATAGTTTAGATTAGCGTGACCTATATACATGGGTACAACAATGACTATAAAGTTATTACATACGTAGTGCCTCCTAGTGCCTATTAATTATTAAAATTATTTAATTAGTAGTAATTAAAATCAGCGCTCAATATTGTCGTCTATATATGTGCTTTTTTATTTTATTACTATTATTAGATGTTATGGACTTAACTATAATACCAAATTTTTGATTTTGTGCAAGTTATAGTTTTCTCAGTCGGGCAACCTAAATAGCTACTAGATTGGTTGTGGCATTTTTTGGGCGGTACCTTTTGAAAATATATCTAGATGTTAGTACAAACAAAAACAAAAACAAAAAAAATAGGAACAATGTAGCTAATGTGGCAATAAATCAGAAATTTTCATTAATGTATACGTTCACAAATTGTACCTTCTGCTAAATGTCTCTTTTATTCGATTTGTAGAATACTCTTCTCTCAAATTTCTTCTGAACCACCAGACTTTACTAACTTTTAAGTTTATAGGGTAACAAGTCTACGAAAGTTTCGTGTAACAACATTATCCAATCAGTGAGAAAAAAATTATTATAAAATTTGTTTCAAGTTATATTTCAATGTTTATTTAAATGTTTTATATTTTTCTACATCTGTAGGTTTATTTTGAACAATTATTTTCATAAAAATTACATGAAACATCGTTAAAATATTGCAAGTTTATCCTCTTGGATGGTTTTGCTACCATCAATAATAATAAACACCATTTTAGTCACGAGCTTGATCTGGCGCGAGCATAATTAACACCGTGAATACTTTCAATGATTGACGTGTGATGTCACCACCAGAAATGACAAACTTCAAAATACTAAGGCTAAAATAGTGGCTCGCGACAATGTTTAATGAAGATGACCTTTTATTTTTTACCGTATCTTTATATAACGATTTATCCACCACCACTTGCCCATGAGCTTCAAACATTACTTCAATTTAAGTTTCTATACTTAATGGTGAAAGTAATAGAAGAAACGAGAAAGATTTATAACTGTCTTCTCCATTAATCCAGTTGGTTTAATATTATTCCACAGACCAAAAATCATGATTGTTCCAATTGCTATCTATGCATTGTTGTAATTTAGTCTGTCCCATACTCCTATAGTTTTATTATAACTACCATTGTTTATAGCGTAATATGTTATAAGTGTAGAGTGAAAAATTAACGAACGTCTTTGAACTATAATGGAAATGGGTATATAATAAACTTGCTATTGGAATTAACATAAAATACTTATTGAAAAAACATGAAATTTTTGACAGACATGTTCCGATCATTCGGCAACGTGAGATTGTTTCATAGCTATCTCGATCGTCAGTCTACCAGTGAGATGCACTAGGAGTTGGGGAGAACGCGATATATTCATTCCCGATATTCGCATCCTGCAACGAACTGAAACGAAACTAACCGAAAGTTTTGACAGGTAGACTTGTTTGTTATGACCGTTGTTATGATTTGATATTTTTTGACACTTACGATTTTATTTCGGCTTTTGACTGGAATTCGTTGTATTGTTGTGGTTTCTGGCGTTTTCGTTTTATGTGTGTTTGATTTATTGAAAATGGATAGCGTTAAATACTCTCACTGTGAACAAGCCTTCAGTGCTCGTTTTAATTTGAGAAAACATGCAAAAGAGTTTCATCTACGTAACAAAAGCCAAAGCTAAAAGTATTGTCTTTAAGCACAGTATTCAATTTTTTGATTCATTAGACATTATAGCCCCAAGAAAACAATATAAACATCATTGTAAACAGCGTAATAAGAATTTTAATATACTAAAAGACTTTGCATACCATCAAAAAACAAATCACCCATCTTCTGTCAACACTTTGCCAAGTAGTTGTTCCAAGGAAATAGTTATTTCTACTGCTCTATTTGTCAGAATATTGAAATTACAACAGAACACATAGAGTTTGATACTTTAGAAGAATTTCTTGAATGAAAAAAAAAACATGGAAGCTACTCCTCACTCACGTTTTATAAAGAAGAGAGCAAATTATTCTACAAAATATAAAACTATTATAACCTGCACATGTCATCGTTCTGGCAATTTCTTCAAATACATTCACCCATCGTATAATAATGATGTTTGGATATTACATTTCACGGCCTCGACGGGAATGCATATATCGCGTTCTCCCCATCCTCTAGTGTGAGATGCCCCAACCGTAGTCGTCGAGTTGGATCGAACAATATCTCGATTTGTCATCAGGGTCTCAAAATGTGTAATGCACCTCGATAGCTGATTATTTGGATTGCCTAGTGGACTGTATTTCAAATGTTTAATTTTTTTTGAACGAGTTACTTTTGTAGAGTGGCAGTTACTAAATCGAAATCAATATAATATACCAGTGATACGACAATCACATAGTTGTGGCGGACTTACAGATGCTGGTATACTAACGATCTTGGACCGCAGATGGTGAGATCTTAGTCCAATTATGGTTTGTTTCACTCCCGAAAACCGATACGTGTTGTTGGATTGACGGTCAACGCGCGAGAGCGTCCACTTTTCTGTTTTTTTCCAAAATTTGGTTTTTGTGCTTTTAACTGAAAAAACGCGCTGTTTGATGATATTCAAAATAACGAATTCTTTAGATATAAAAAGCAGTAGTGCGACACGAAACCGGTAGAGGCTGCTAGCAGTGCGAGAATTAAATTAAAGAAAACAAGAGATATTTTACTTGTAAAGAAAGTTCATGAAACATGAAGCAGAAAGCCCTTTCCCTAAAAAGAAAACAAAAAAAAACTAAATCAATTAATAATAATAATACCAAATAAAAATAAATTAGAAAGAGGTTTAAATCAAAACCGAACACCTTGTATGAAAATGTTCGAAAATTCAGAAAATATTTGAAACTAATTTGACATTACCAGTTGCATCCCAGGAATATTCGTGTACAAATAACTACAGTTACACATTTATCAATCTGTTAATACAGCAAAATGTAAGTAATACATTTTTAATAAAATGTTTTACTTTTATATGCAATTACAACAAACATATTTCACGTCAGAGGTTGTTCACTCGCTGCTGTAAAACTTTTAGCTGTGATGAACGCAAAAGTTCGAAAACACCTTTCCATGGTCCTAAATTTGCATATCGCTTTGCCTTCCTTTGTTTTTGAGTATACCAAGGATTAAATCCATTCCAGCTTCATATGACGCCGTCCACGGTGATTCATCAATAAAATTTCTAATAATAAAACTCTATTACAAGTGGCAGACCTATTTAAATCTTTTATTCTACTTTGTCCTTTTTGACCCTTTAAGTCATAAAAATCGTAACCTCGGTGCCTCTCTTCCTGTGATATATTCTATGTTTCTTTCTATATTCTATTAAAAAAATAAAAATTTTGGTGGGTTACAAATTATGGTTCGAAAATGTTCAGTTACAAAAATAAATGGTGTTAACGCAAAGCTTGTAGAATAAAATATCACTCGCGGGTAGGTAGTCTCCTTCCCCGCACCTTCCGTTAGAAGCTGGACTCCATAAACGAGGACTATGTAACAAAAGTAGAGAATTTGAAGTATCTTTCAAAAATAACTACCATTTAACACTTTTCAACATATTAGAAACGCAGAAAAAATAAAATAAAAATGGAATTGTTTAAATTTGTAAACTCACATTTAACTCGACTGTTATATTGTAAATATTGACACCAAATTTGTAATCGTGTTTGCTACAGCTCTCCTGAAATTTTTATCTACAATGCAAATTATATTATTAACTGATGAAACTGAAAATGTTTGATGTCTTGTCATAAAATTAGTAGTAGTGGTACTTTTTTTTCATTAAATGTAGTTATTTTAATTTATTATAAATATTAATATGTATTAATTTGTTTGCAGTTAATATGGTCATAGGGGTGAAATGTGATTGTGAGTTATATTTTACAAATTTATTGAAATAGAATTAACTCAAATTGATTTTTCCAATTGAAATGTCGAAAATAATAGTGTTAAATTAATAAGTTTACGTGTTAGATATTATGTTACGTGTAAAAAAAGACCTATTTTTACAACTTATCGATTTCCTAAACCTTAATTTAAATATTGCATATTGTTTTAAACGCCCTGGTGTTTCGTTTAATAAATGAGTGACTTAAAAAGTGAAGCAAACGTATTGCATATTATACTTTTTCTGAGACCGTTACTTTGTTTTTACAGAAGCGAGTAATGCCTATTGATAGGCCGATCGAGCGTGCGGGAAGCGTCACTTTACCACGTCTGTTTTGTTTCCGACAAATCCGAACCACTTCGAATATATTCGGGATTTTACCGCACGGGTTTAGGAGCAATCGGATGTTTTCGGAAATATTTCCCACGCTTTGAATTTTGACGTTTGTCAATTCTGACGGTCATGCCAGTGAATGTATTCGTGTTGTTTTGCGAAAATGTACCCAAATCTAACGATCGTAGAAATAGTATAGTATGCAACACGTTCCGTAAACTTTTTAACTCACTCGTTTATTAAAAACTCGCTCCGCTCGTGTCAAATAAACTCATGAGTCAAATGTCGTTTACCGCACTTGTAGCATAATATACTATTGGCACACATTAGCAATATCTTTCTTGTGCTAAAAATATGAATATAGAAGTATACCATATTATAATTCTCTTTCAGAGCCGCTTGGAATTGAGTTCGTGTTTGTTCCGTGACGCCGTACTTGTATAGAAACCTGATTATCTTATATTTTATAGTAACCAATCACCACATTCTCTCTTGGATTCCTACTTTTTAGCTGATCAAGGCGTTCTGCTGGTTTTTGAACATCAGATGTTAATATCAACACTCTTCCTTCTGAAAAAAATAGAAAACCCAAAATTCAGTGGTTTTTACAAATATAAAACCGTTGGTAATGAGTATTGCATTACCTCAAATATCGATAAAAATGCCCAGACATGAAAATTTTTTCTTTTCTCTCGTCTTCAGTTTTCAGTAGTATCCATTGTATCGTACTCTGCACCTTTCTATAAATATATGTCGCCAAGTACAGTATATTCCTGGGGTTAAGCCACAGTTCGAACTCCAAAGTGTAAATCGAAATTCAGTCAAATCAAAGTCATTTTAAATATTTAACTGAAGGTACTTTAAGCAGCATACCGCCAAATTTCTGAATCTCGGGCACATTCTTAAAATCCTTTACAGACCATTCCGATCATTTCAAGTGATGTCAAATCCAGATCACTACCGACAATACAAAGAAGTATACAAAAATAATTTTTGCACCTGAAAATACGATAGTATTTTCTCTCTTAAATCTTAAATAGTTCAGAAACGCAGCTATACCGGAAATGCTCCTGCTCTTGATCCTTTAAATTTTCTTGCAGTGATTTGGTATCCATAGCTACCTAAGATGAAAACCAAATTAAATTAAAAAAACTAATTACATATTAACCATCTTTATCGTCCCTTTTAAAACTAATCCACGATAACCTTTTGACGGGAATATGATTTTGGAAATTTAATTTAAGAACTGCACATATTTTATATGATTTTGGAAATTTTATTTAGGAACTATACATATTTTTCATATTGTGCGATGGTGCGATGAATATAATTTTCTAAATAAAAGTAATGGTTCAATAAAACATGACTTTTTGTAGCAAAATCTATGGGAGTTACACATTAAACCAAATATTTTGCAAATGACCATCATGTGTTCGCTGGCATATTCTTATTGAAAAAATTTTCAATAAAATTGATGACATAAACCAACGACTTCAAATATTCCAGCCGGAAGTTCAAAGTGCGGTAAATCACAATGACGTGGTGATAAATTCTTGTCAAAACGCGAAATGACAAGACGAGGAAGTCCTGCTGAAACTTGTTATTGCTTACAATTTGCTACCGAAGTAAATTATCAGAGGTGGACTCACTGCGATTTTCCAAGCAGAGTTATGCAAAAGTGTTTGGATTCAAAATCCTTCTTCGCAATTCGTAAATTATTTTGACTACAGGGTGTTCTAATTATGAACTTCTGGAATTTTAAATAGGACACCAATTTTTGCGCATTTTTAGGTTCTATAAAATCTTGGTTTTCCTTCCTTATGAGGAGGTTCCAATAGAAATGGTCAGAATCACCTTCCAAGATTTGTGCTTTGATGGACAATCGTTGTTGATAAAGAATACTGCTCAGTCCAAATTTAACTGGGTACAGCTGTTTGGTTAGGCTTTTTTGACTGATTTTTTACTTCTATTTTTGCACACACTGATCTACCACCTCTCAATGGCCAAAATAAAACTAAGCAGCATAATATGTCTCTAAACATTGCCCATTTATTCACTTGTCGAAGTTCACTCAGTCCTAATTTTGCAACTGTTTGCAGATAACTTGAATAAACACAGTTGGTTATCATTATCATATTTATAGATAAAATAAAAAATACCTACAGGGTATCCCAGAAAATATTTAATGTAAGAAAAAATATAGTCCAATCTTTAACATCATAATGTTTTAAACAAGCAAAATTGTAAAATGGATAATATAGGACACAAATTCAACTTTTATTTCTAAATAAATATACATTATTATATCATTAACAATTTTCGTTATTGCATGGATATATATATATATATATATATATATATATATATATATATATATATATATATATATATATATATATTTGCTCTGAATAAAAATGTCATTGTTTTACATGAGTGCGCAAAAAGTAGAAAACTTGATCTTTTGGAAAACTTAGAAGTCACCACAACTTTTTTAATTTTGAGCCGACATTAATTTTAATTAATATAAATTGCAGGTCTCCAGTGCAGGGTTACACCGGTGTTTTTTTGTATATTTTTATATTTTTGACTTTTTAATCACAACATTTATTGTTTCATCTTTTAGTTCTCGGTAAAATCAAACAGATTCGGTCTCATTCCAATTTGTGACTGTGTGCATGTGAGTTGACGTCTTTGTATGTGCGTATTCTTAATTTATGTAGTTATTTTGTTATTTACTTTTATAGGTCTGATGATGCCCATGTGGGCGAAACACGTGTAACATTTTAGAAATAATGATTTTTAAGACATTGACTTCGGAGTTTAATTGAATCCTTATATCTTTATTTTTTTGCCTATTCCTGGGTTCCTTTAGGCGCAAGTGTAAACTTCACCTGGCTGCGCATCTCGGTCTGCTGCTGGTATGACACTCGCCTCTAGATAATGAGCGTTTAATTCTAAAAGAAGAATCAACAAGACCATTGCACATCCAGCAAAGGCAAAAAATACATGATACAAAATTCATCTGAATGTACGATGCACATGATGATTCCTTTAGAATTCAATGTTATTAAAGAAGCTAGTATGTGAATATCATACCAACGGCACGGCGAAGTCAACAGATTCGGCATGTTTCAACTCTTTGTTAGATCATAGTGTCCACAGAATACAGTAGACTGCTGACTTTTTATTTATATGAACACTCACTGAAATTTACACATAACAAAACAAATGAGGCGTTAAAATTCCCAATCTTTTTCTTCGTCTTTATGGTACTCTGTAATCTGCTTCCAGAACTCGTCCTTTCAAACTTATTCAATTTTATTCCGATATTTTGATCGGATCTTACATTGCAAGAAGAGTTTAAGTTTTTTAGATTTCCAAAAAGTGAGTACTCATGGCTATTGTATTTTTGCCAAATTATACATTTTAACTTTTTGATCTATTTTTATTGTTATTGGTCACTATCAACCTCTAAAAACTGCTTGTTTTTATTTTCACTTTTTTTAATTTTAATATATGTTTTTAAGTCGTATTTGTTGTTTTATTTCATTTGAATAACAATTTTACAAATGGTACCCTACAGAATCTTTTTATAGAACCGTCTACCTACACCCAAACAAGCTTCTGTTTAACAACTGAACGAGCTGACGTTGCACTTTTGGTTACATTTTTACCGCAAAATTAGATTTTTGGCTTCACGTACTATAGCACATTATGTTCAACTTCAATGGGCAACTCCCAATTACTTATCTATCATACCTATCCTATGTCAATGCTCGAATAGCATATTCGACAATGTTCATGTGCTTCCGCCAATTTGATTATGAGGTTCAAGCTGATACTGATATATTATAAAAATGTTAATCTATAGGTATCAGAAAATAAAAATATTTCCCCTCGACCGGGATGAACGAAGAATAATATCAAATTGTTAAAAAGTTTACTCTTTCAAGCTTTTATTATAAACTATTAGTTGTTGTAAATGACATTATTCGTTGGTATTGCGTACATGTTCATGGTAACAACGCTTAATCAAATATACTCGTGGTACTACCAACCATATAATATCTATATACTAAATAAATTGTATGATAATGTTACATATAGCTAATAGAAATTATAGAGGCCGTAAACACCGTAAAATTGATTCACCTCGGAGGCCGTTGAAATTTTCGTAGAGAAAGGAATGATTTTGCGCGCATATTCCTTTATGTTTCCCAAATGAACCTGCGCTTGGCGCCACTTTCTATCTAAATATCGATTACCACACACGCTGAAAATGTATTAGAATCTATAGAAATATATCTATCATAATCAATGCTTGCTTTCAAAGTACGCTTTCAACCAAAAATACCTTGTCATTTTAAACTAACCAATGAGATTTTGCGGTTTTCAAAAGTCAGCATGGCAGCTGACAGTTTGTCATTTCGGCCGTTTTCAGTTTGCATGTAACTTTATTGTATTAAAGTTTCAACAAGGAAACGAATTAAATGTTTGGAGATGCCGTTTAGACAGAAAATTGTAAAATTTTGGGCGATGATCGAATCTTTTTAAATGTTTTTTTTTGCTTTATTGGCATTTTTCATTTTGAAACCCACTTTTTCAGCTCAAGTTACCAATTTTCCATTCCATGCGTTAAGTCATCCAAAACCCAATATGCGGAAGCTGCGGATTCTATTCAATTGGATGTACGTAGACCGAGAATTAGACGCTTGTATATTTGGTTGCATATTATTTTTTGAACACACTTTTATCACTACAAGCTAATAGACTTATAACAAAAAATTTACTCGAAGAAAGTCGCAATGTCCCATATGGGTTTAAGAAGAACACAATGCTCAAAACCTCTAAAATAGATTTCATTTGCCAACAGCAGGGTTAAAGATTATGCTTAAAAAATATACCTACGATTAACAAAAAAGACGTTGCGCTGTTCACCTTTTGGGAGTGCTAATCAAGCACACAATCTAAGCGAATTCTGTATATCCCGAATTCCATTTGTTAAATGTGAAACAATCCCACGCTGGAATAAAATGTCTGCGATAGATCGTGTAAAAATAATGGTCCTCGGGGATTCGGGAGTTGGTAAATCATCTTTTGTGCATTTAGCTGCCCACAATGAACCAATAAAATCTCCTAGTTGGACCATAGGCTGTTCCGTTGAAGTGAAATTGCATGAATTTAAAGAAGGGACCAAAGAACAAAAGACTTTTTTTATAGAGTTTTGGGATGTAGGAGGAAGCAATAATCATAGAAATGCTAGGCACGTGTTTTACAATCCTTGTCATGGAGCCATATTAGTGCATGATTTAACAAATCGCAAATCTGAGGAGAACTTGCAGAAATGGCTAAGAGAACTGTTAAACCGTGACACAGCTGATAACAGCAATGCAAGTTTTAGCAGCATGGCAAGCTTTGAAGAATTGGATTCTGAAAATTTAATGGGTACAAAAACCTTAATGCCCCTTTTAATAGTGGGGACAAAGCTGGATCAAGTGGATGATAAAAAGTCGAGCAGTAACTTTGGATACAAATATGGAGCAGAGGAAATACAACTTAATTGCAGCCAGTCAAGATACCTTGCGCCCGGAACATCCAATGCAGTAAAATTATCAAGATTTTATGATAAAGTAATTCAGAATAAAGCCTCAAATCGAACAAGGTCTTACCCAGAAAGATTTGGAAGCAACACTGTTTTGTCTAATTACTCATCTAAATTTTATTCACTTCATCAAGATTAATTATGTATTACGAATATTTTAATTTAATTAAATATATAAATCTTTAGAACAATTAGTGCAAACATGGTAACCCATTCTAAACCAAGCTTAAGATTACACTGTGTTCTTGTTTTATTATAATTACTATATTTTTTTTAAATAAAATTGAAGAGTACAGGGGGAAACAGATGAGAGTCCAAAAAACTTAATTCTGTGTAATTGTGATTTTTATTTAGGAAGATTAGAACATGGTAAACAAAAATAGGATTTTGGGATATAATTATTGCTAACTTGAACTAAAATCCTTTATGACACAATATATATAGAAATATATTAATAGTCAATGCAAAAGTATAAAAAAAACTTTGATTTCAATGCAAAAAACACTTGAAGATCCATAATCTATTATTGTCATTTTATCAATGTGGTATTGCTGTTTAGAAAATCTTGCGCTTTTTGAGAATAGAATCTTTTTAGATGCTGTCTTGAAATTTAACTTCACTACTATACATTTTAAATTCTGTTTATTATCTTTGTACTCTCATCTTTCTAGCAATTTCTTATAGGTGGATATTATTCTATAGCCAATATATTATATGAAATAACTGTTAGTCTTATTTGGGCAAAAAATGGACCCTCATCTTTTTTCCCTTTACTCTTCAATTGTTTTAGGAGAAAAAGGTTCAAAGGTAAACATCATTGAAGCTGCATAAATTATTTATTTTACAATTCTTTTTCAAGTGTCACCTATAAGGTGCATTTCATTAATGGTATAAAACTACAAGTTGGAAAACCACTATAACTTGTAAATCTAATTAATATAATACAATTTTCGCAATTCAAGCTGAAAGACTAATCTGGCGAATTATAAAATTTCAAAATTGGGTGTCAAAAAGTGGTAAACGAAGATAAAACTTTAAAACTGCATCCTTTTAATATAATAAAAACTGTAATATGTACAAATACGATAAAAAAAAATATAATAAAAACGCTATAATCGCTTTAAAGCATTTACACCTAACGAGGAAGCCTTAACTTTACGGGTCGGTTGCACAGACATAGGAGCTATGGGGGGAGATTCTTCAGAGTTTTCACCACTGCCTAATTCCTGAAAATAGAAGCTGTTTTTCAATACATTAAAAGGATATACACATAGCAATCTGGTGCAATCGTGTGGATAGAGGTTAGACACTAGTTAGCTGTAGGTACATAAAATTTTCTTACTATTCTTTCCGAGTACTTAGCAAGTCATGTTTGAATATATATTTTGCTATCTGCTGAAAAGTTATGGATAGTGAAAAACTAATTAATACTTTTACTACAAAAATATCATCCGAGAGAAAATACAATACTTCAGGATTCCTCCTGCGTCAGTTGTTGTTGAGCTGAACTTGCTAACGTTTCGGCAATCATCCTGTTGGCTTCTTTAGCGCTTAGAGGAGCTAAATGAGCGACATCAACATTTTCCGCTAAAGTCAACACCTGAGTGGCTAATTTACCATTCACCAATATGGGAATTAGTGACCCGAGACTATGTTCACAGTAGCTTGGGGAAGTGTGTTTGAAAAATTAGAGAGAAAATACTTTTACTACAGAACTGGCATCTTGAAAAATACTACACAATTAATAATAAATAAATAATAATTAATTCTATGGTCACGTATGGTCCTTATCCAAGACGGAGGCAAATGTGTCTCTCCTTAAACGCCGTGAGCTTCAAATTCAAATCAACTACTATGGGAATTACCAAACTAGTTGATAATTACTCATCTGCTCTTTTAAAAAGGTTGATATATATAATTGGACTATAATTGTTTTTATCCTCCAAGCTACTTTAGAAAATACAACATTAAAGGCCACAAAGTAAATCAGTTACCCAAAAAGTATAGTATATAGTATAGATTTCAAAGACTGCGAGTTTCCATCCAAATGGCGTGAACCTTTTCCACGCAAAGCAATAAATTTATGGACCTTGCCAAGTAGGGATGAGGACTGAAAAAATATTGCGAATAGTTACTTACATTAATATTGCTGTAGCTGGCGAGTCGCATTTGTGCCAGCTGCGAAGCGGGCGTTAAATTCGTTGAGCTGCCAAACGGCGACATCATGGAACTAACTGCCCTTTTCAATTTCGATGGTGTGGACTTGTTGAAGGAAAACGTCCGCCCGACTTTTAGCCTCGTTTTTGCGAACTTCAAGGCCTTCGATAAGGTACCATTCGTAAGATCGCTGGTGTCTATGTCCAGCTGATGAGCTTCCAGATAAGCCATAAACTTATCCTAATCGCAACAGTTAAGTTTTAAACAATATACAAGTCACGAAAAATATTATTCGGTTATAGGGTTATTGTTAGTGTGACAAAGATAAATGGAGGTTTGAATACCCAACAGCCGCCGCCGGATTATGACGGCCATGTAACGAAAATAAAGATTCATCGGTGAATAAAATATTCGGTAAAAAATCTTTTGGTTAGCCTGTTCAATCATTTCTTCACAAAATACCATGCGTTTCTCATGAATTTATAGCACTTGTACCCATTTCACTTTAAAATATTCTGCACTATTCTTTAATTTCGCGACAACACTCTGACATTCAAAGAGTCCTGTGGAACTCGGTCGTATTTATGATAACGCTATAACCCAAGAATATTTTTCATGGTCTGCATACTTTGTAAAACTAGATATATTTTTAAGGTTGAATCATAATTAATAATAATTTAAACTATCTAATTTCTAAAAGTTTAAGTTGGGTTCACGTTCTCATATATTGGCTAAGGTGACTATTAATAAGATCCTTAATGTGACTTTTATTATGCAATCTTTCATTTTTGCACCTTGTGTCCACAATGTAGGGCCTTAAACATTATTTAAAAAATAAATATTTTTTAAATCTTAATGAACAAATCTCTCAATTTTTTACATATTTTGTTGAAACTTCGAATTTGAAATTACAAGACATTTAGAAAAGCAAACTATATGAACGAAAATTATATGACATATATGAATATTTATAAAATTCATGTATTGTACTTATTTGTAGTATATAACTTATTTTTCAGCATAACACATACCGCATCCGCCGTACACGCATTGTTGGCCATGGTCCTTGACAATAGTTTTAAAAATGAGACTTTATCCACTTCTTCATCGGCCATCGTGAATGAATACAGCCGTTCCTTAAGCTCATCATTGTTACGACAAACCAAACTAAATACTTTCTGACAATCTTCTGTTTCCTTGATGTCAATTATCTGTGAAAGAATGAAGAAAAGCCAAATGAATGAGCTCCAAAAACTAACTAAAGTATCAGCTCACTTTTTTTATTGTATTAAGAGCCATCATTCGAACGTGTTTATAGGGTTTGATGGTAGGTCTTCCTTGCAACTGAAATGAAGAACTAACGGTGGCAGATGGACTTTTCATACTGTTGAAGGTCTTCTTTTTCTTACACACTTCCAGTTGATCAGTAAACAGGAACAAAACCAAATTGTTGCCTTTACTAGCAAGACCCTCTGAAGATGATAGCTGAATGACTTCTGTTTTCGCTATGTAACTACGATGCGACGAAACTATGTCCGGCTAAAATATCCAAGCTTTAATTTCTAATCTAATCACGACCCAGATGGTATTTTACTTACAGGGCAATTATCTATATCGTTAAAGATGTTGAAAAGAGTTACTTGGCCCTCAGCTTTTCGTTTGTCTTCATTGATGTGGGTCATTACCTCTCTAAGAGCTGCCAGCGCTTGATCAAGGGCTGCGTTATCGGGGTTTGTTTTTGAAGTATTCTTTAAAATATCTGTCAAAGACAAGATTATTATTTAAGTTTTGCAAAGATATATCAAATAATGTGATTAATTAATGTATTTATTGAGGGATAAACAGTGCCCATTATAATACACACTAAAACAGATAATTAATGTAATAACCAAGGTAATACTTGTACAGATGACTGAAGGGTCTATAAAGTTTGAGCAAATGCCTTAATGAGTAAGTAGTTCTGAAGCAATACTATTAGTTTTACCATTTGTCAACTTATTTCCCATTTTAGTCATACTATTAGACTGGACTATGGATGTTTAGATTATTATTTTTAAAATTCAATACACAACAAAATTAATAGCAGTAATAACCACATTGACAAATACTCACCATTCAAGAGCAAGCTAATACTTCCCAACCTTTGGACAGGACGGATCATAAGTTCCTGTAAGCTCTGACGACCACATTCTGGCCGCGTCTGACATGCCTTCAGGAAAGCATGAAATCGCGGTCTCGTTTGGTCACAACGTGATAAAACTTCCTTCATCTCTTCAAAATAATTGATAAAAGGCGGGTACGCTCTCTGTAACTCGGTTGAATATTTTATTATAATGTTGCCTATGCTTTTATCCTCTGTCCAATGAGCTGACAACCACCTCATCTAAAATAATACCCATGAGATCACAGTCACAATAATGACCTTTTAAGTTTTACCTCATCTAACATTTTCAAATGGGTTTCATAGATTGGAGGCAATTTACCAAAAATGAGATTCAATTCTGTATTATTGAGTAAAGCATCTTCATCTGGCATGTCCTCCAGATGTTTTTTAAACATATTCATAATAGTGTGTAATATATCTACATAATTCGATTCAGTTTGAAGAAGTTCAAGGAAGACTTGGTGCCTTGGTGTTAGAGCCTTACGTGGGGTTTCTAGCACTGGTTCTGCGCCATCAATTATGACCTTTTCAGCCTATTTAAGTAAATACCAATATTATGAAACAGAAAAATAAACTAAACAGCTACAATGTAAACTTTTTATTTAAGAAGACTGTATCAAGGTTAAAATTGTATACCAACCGGGCTTGCAGTGCAATCCAAGAAAGAACCCGAGACTGAGAGAAGTCCAGCATCACTCACAGATGATCTTCTTTTATGGAGGCCAGGAGACTGAGTTTGTACTAATGATTGAAGTGTTTCCTGTATTCGTTTACGTTTTCGCCTAAACATCAATAATTTAAATAAGAGCTAGTTAAACAATTACAAATTATTTAGAGAAATAGGAATTACCTGCTTGCACTACATGGCGTTGCAGCATGTGAATCTCGCCGTGCCCCTGGCGTTACTATGGCGTGTTCAATATAGTCATCAAACAGGTACTCTTTCTCGTCAAGACTACATTCTTTTTGTACTGATGTCCAAAACCATTCAGCTTTGACAACAAACGCCCTAAGTGGTACATCTGGCCTTTCCGAGATAGAAGATTCATCTACCACCTACACAAAACAGGAGTCACAAAAGATATATTAGTGACATTAAATTTGTTTCATAAATAATCTTCCATAACAAACACAGTTTAGCTGAATCTTAGCTGAATAAAACGTGCATTTCTTACAACCTCAACGTCTTTTTCATTACGTTAGTTTAGCAAACTATTGTCTACAATTGACGAAATTGAGGTTTCAAGCACGAGTTTTACATTAATGTTGATTGGTTCAAAAATTTCCAATTATTAAATAAAATAAAATGCTTGTAACAATTAGTGTCTAGTGGGAATGTTATTTTTGATACCGACTCATGCAGTTTTAACCCTTACTCATACCGTGTGAAACAGATAATGCTACAATAAACAGACTGGCACAGGAAATTTTTAAATCAAACAACTACCGGACAAAACAAAAGTAAGTACTAACTTCCAAGAGGTAATTCAAAATGACATAAAAAAAAAACTAAGCGAGCTCCAATAGAAACAATACAATTCAAAGAAGCAAACCTCATCAGAATGACATGTAAACCGACTTGCACTTTGACAGTGTTATAAAAAAAACATTAAAACAAAGTTGTTAATTCAATATTAGAAAATAATAAAATTATTATTAAACAGAGTCTACTTTGGATCTGTTCAGAATGTGTAGTAATGTAAAGTAAGTTCATATTAAATAAATTTTGAAATTTGTTCAGAACAACAACAGATTAATGTAGAGCGTTTCTCTGAATGTAGGAGACAATGTTTTAGTATGAAATGTTGCGTAATTAAGTCAAATAAAGACAATGACAGTTCCAGTTCTTTCTAGTTTCAACAATATACAGGGTGCTCCGTTTAATACTTAAAACATTTTATCCCTTTTAAGTAGATCTGGCAATCCTGCGATAGTTAGAATATTTTAAACATACAAGATCACAGCCTCCGATAGTTGCAATAAGAAAATGATCGACTACTAGAGACGCACAGAGTCGTTTTTTTAATTGAAATTTATTTCCCTTCTTTTATGTGTTGTTACCCCTTAGAAACTTTTGACTAAAATTTTCAAGTAATCTTGAGAAATTGGAAAACTGTTGCTTTGTCCTTTGGCAGATTACAGTTTTACATGAAATGTGAAATGAAGTTAGTACCGCAAGAGCAGCAGTAGTCCTTGAAGGCCTTGCTATTCCATCCGAAAGCCCATTAAAACCGCAGGGATCAGTGGGAACGGAATTCATGGAAATATCCGCAAAACAACTGTGATTCATTTTGTGTTCAAGTCCGTCGATTTCGTCGTTGACGGATAATTTTGTGGATTTCATTACAGACTTTTTCGACTTAGTTCGGCTGAACCGAGATGAACTGAATGTCCTTGAAAAGAGGCTCTTACGCGATCGATTCGTATAACCTTGTGGAGTCGCGTCCTCGCTGTTAAGGCAAGAATTCAAATTATCGATGGTTTCGACATTAAAAACACCCGACGTGGAAACGATGCTGTCATTTAATGAGTGATTGAAAGTTGAGGCGTCTATGGTACGTCGTCGGTTTGAAAAATAATTCATTGGGGTTTTGAAAAAGTTAGACACTTTCCTCCTCCTTTCACTGTAACATTTCTCGCGTTTCCTCTTTATCTCCGAATTCGATTCGGGCGACGCGTTTTTTCTTTTCCTCTTAAACGAAATATTGCTTATATTAAAGGACTGATCTTCAAAACATATACTGCCCATTTCGCTTACTAAATCGTCGTTGTGCGATGCTTCATAAAGTGTATCCAAACATTTACTATTTTTGCTTGTTGCGCAATTATGAATACTGTTGTTATTGGGGGTTTTGGGAGAGGGCGGCGGTTCAGATAGGAGGTTCTTAAGGGTAGAGGTAATTTTGGGTGAAAGATGGGCACTTGTTGAGTCGAGCGCGAACACCTCCGAGTTTTCCAGTACCTAAAACCCATGACCAGTCTTGTAAGAGTGATTCAAAGATCTGTGATAATTCAAAGAAAATGGAAATCAATTGTGTATGATAATATTAACTGTTCTTTTCTAACCACGGACACGATAAGTGTTAGTTTTTATCAATGCAGATATACATGCAAAATTAGAATTTATAAAACGTCTTTCCTTCCCCTTAAGTTGCAAAGCTTTATTAGACTAATATGGTTCCATCTCGATCAAATTGTGAATTTTTTGATAACTGTTAAAATAAAAAAATATGGGCTGACGTTCGCCTGGAGATTTGTCTTTAAAAAAAATAGGAAAAAGTTTATACAAAGGTAAGTCCGGAAATATGTAGATTGTAAGATAAAAGAAAGCTAGTGCGAAATTAAGTCATAGGTTACAATTCCCTACAAGTCGGTTGATGGTGGTCATTGTTAATATTTTGTTTATTGCTAATTTAGTAAAATCAAGTACACGTGAAAAAAACGTTACGTCAATTCTCACGATTTTATTTTTTCTACTCAAAAAGAAAGCAAGATAATACGACAATTCAAGAATCAAAAAACTTGTACTTTCTGTGGCTAATTCAAAGTAAATAAAAAAATCAGTGGCGTAAATCTCTTTGACAATACTATTCGACATACCCCCGCGATGACACTAAAGTTCATAATTTTAATCGGAGTTGAAGTAAAATTAGCTAGTTATTATCATTATTTCTAAATTTCAACAAAAAAAATATTTACTACATTGCAAAAAAAAAACCTTTTTTAAAAAGGTTTGAAACTAAACACCAGGAACCTGCGTTTAAATTAACTTTTTTCTTTTTTTAGATAACGAATTTCCACCCGAGCTGTATATATAAAATTATAAAAGTCTCATGTTCTGAGCTATAAGTTGAAGATTGTTAAACTAAATTGTTCTCATCAAAACAAATATTCCAGGAAATTTTAAGCTAAAAGTTATTTTCTCATATTTTCCAAAGGGAAGCAAACAATCAAAATTTGGTGTGATGTGATGGTGAATTAATAATAATTAATAACTACAGGTGTAGAATAGAAAACATTTACAAAAAAAATGTTGACTAAAACTAACTAAAACCATTTTTTACCACAATACATCATATACATATACTATGGTATTGACGGCCTGCAATCCAAAGATCAGAGAAATTAACCAAAATCATTGTTACAAGTTCAGGTGAAATAAAATCTAGTCATTTTTTGCAAACTTGAAATGAAAATAAAATATGGTGCCTTTATTACTTTCTTTTAAAAAAAGCCCCACAAATTTATTAGATAAGAAATATTTAGTTTTTTAAAACAAACAGGCCAAACATCATGAGAGTACTGGCAGTTACATAACTGACTGAACCCCAAATTATCAGAAAGAATGCTCATGTATCTTAAAAAGTGTAAGTAAAAAGAGAAATTAATATCCATTTCCCATCAATATTTACGATTCATTAATATTTTCAATCTTTGAACTACTCTTGCTTTACCCAACACACATTGCAAAAGCAAGCTATAATTTAAAGACCTTCAACTAAACCCAACCACTGCACAAGAGAAAAGCAAACTGCAAAAAGTACCTATTCCATATGCCAAATCAGTTAAGATTATAGTATTTTGTAATTAATTTCAAGCAATATTTAATTAGTCTTGACATGTAGGAAATTACGCGTTACTAAATATCCACATAGGTCTATTGTCTCGGGCATTGTTATCAAGAGCTTAAAATATTAAAATACCTCCAAGGTGAGTTCATATAAAATACACAAAGAAAATCCCATCTTACTTTTTATATCTCAGCTTTAACGAATGCGTTAAGGAGAAATAGTAAATGGGGATATTTATTCTACTTACCACATGCGTGCAATTAGGGTCATCCGCAGATGTTACCATACCACCATTGGCGACCAAAACCTCAACCATGTGTAGCTCTTCTTCTTCTGGAAAACCCAAAAAGCAAACTCTGGCACCATGGAAGGCTTTCAGTTTATAGTTTGCCTGAAAATTGTAGTAAAAATCAAAATATATTTTTTATTATATTACATATTGTATATTATATTATATATTGAGATAAAAAGAACAATTTTTAAGCACCTAAACCAGTCTGAACTTTGAATATATTTACATTTTTCTTTTTGTCTATGTGTCTGATATTCCAGCTACTAAAGATTTAAGGGAGGAAATAAATAACAACCAGAACAGAGGTTGCAAGATGTTAATCTCTACACGTTGACCATAAAAAAATTAGATAGAAAAGTCCTAGCCAAAGCAAACGTAGATTCTCCCAATGAAAAATATAGAAAATTAAACAAAAAGAAATAAAGATATTAAAATAGAACTATACAACAACATTTGGAATGGGAGATATTAAAATAACATACAGCAATTTTACTAATCATCTTTTAAATACTTTTTATTTGTTTTTTTTCTATAACTTATTTCGTTTGTCTTGTTCTACCTGTTCACCCTCTAGCAGTAATTCTACAAGTTCGCATTAGTTATTGACTGATATAGAAAAGTTTGAAATTGAATGTACAAGCATCAAAAGTCAGGAGTAAAATTTGTAGATATATGTAAAAATATATTCCAATCTGATTACAAGAATCATTGGTAGTTTTTAACAAAAACTTTATCTATTTAACTATAATTTATCAATGGAATCACTAAAAACGGTTTACTCACAACAAATGTATCCAAAGTGGCGCTAAAATCTAAATCCAACCGTTTCTCCCAACTACTGACCACCCACTGAAGATTCATCACAGGAACTTTGAATGTGGAAGCGTACTGGTATTTATCACCTCCACATGTGTTCGCTATTAAGTGTGTCACCTTTGCTGTCATATCCCTCCTTATTGATCCACCCATATGATGGATCAAGGGAACTAGTTTTGTCTGTCAAAAAGCAAGAAGTGAATATTATTGTAGACATCCAGTCTATGATTAAATATTTTCGGAGAACAAAGTACAACAATAAGCAGTGATAATTCAAGCAAAATATATCATCACAACATCTGACCGGGGTCAAAGCATCCTTGGAATGTATACAAGGCAAAACAGAAAATTTGCGAGTGAATAAATCAAATTACATGTAGTTCTAAAACTATTTGAAGTTAACTTATGCCATGGCTGTCCCAAATAAAAATCAAATAACCCAAATAAAATAAATTACATGTTTATCAAACATTTTCTTTGGAATAAAGATAACTAAGTCTTATATGTATAGTTTAAGCTTTTGACCACCCTATATACATATTTTATTCCTTTAAAACCGCAGCGGACTAAACAAAATATTAATTGTTTATCAAATTAATCAATTAAATTATGACCAAACGTTATTTTACAAGTATAACAAGAACTTATCAGTGTCATTATTTTTGACACCGAGTTCACATGACAAACTTTGTGATCAGTTGCCGCAAATTGAAAAATAACAATAATCAATGCGTAATATAGATTTTTTACAGCTTTAGATAAACTTCAAAGAGCCGAGAGGTTTGCGACATAACCCTTTATAAGTGCTAATTAGTTCAATATATGGCTGAAAAAAATATTTTTTAAACACACAACAAAGTGTATGGAATGAAATTAATACCAATGAAACCCTCCAATCTTAGTCTGAGAGTAAAGATGTAATTGTACGAGTGTATTCTTTAAAAGATATTCTTCTGGCTGTTTGACCAATACCTAATATTTTTGTACTCTGATTTACTAAATCAACAACAATAACTAAAACTTGCAGAAATTGTAGTGATTTTTCATTGATATACCTAATATTGGAGGATTACTTTTTCCTTTTTCAAAAAATTGGTTGAACTTTGGTTTCATTGTTATCAATCAATCAAATCATCAATCATCATCAATTATCAAATACAAAATTTATCACATACCAATATGAGCACTAAAAATTATAAAATATAAAATACTATAAAATACTTTTAGCATTAGGATTCTTTAGATTCGGGAAAGATTGTTATTTTAATACCACTATAAATAAGTTAGTAAGAGGAGGAATTATAATCGAAATGTCAGAGAGCTGACAGAATATCACTGAGCTTCATGCAACATCTCTCTGACCTTAAGGAAAGTGACACCCAAGTAAGCAAGAATCTTAAAAAAATACTTTTGAAGACTTATCTATATAGAAAGTACCTACCAGTTCATCCTTATTTCTAAATCCCGTAAAACACACAACAACTCCCCTCATGGCAATATTAAACAGTGGCCTTGTGTTGTCAGGTAATTCCTTATTGTTTTTTTTGGCTAATTGTTGCAATGCAGGTGGGCCCAGCACTGATTGCTTTGACTTACAAATGGTATTGTAAACATCTCCATCGAAATTTTCAATTACAAAAAATGTACAACAACTGTTGTCTTCGAGATATTCCTGTCCAGTTTCCGAAGTAACTACAGGTACATTAAAACTTTCCGCCACGGAACGAAGAACTGCATCATTTTTTAGATTTCCTATTAAACATATTCTTCTATCTGCTTCGGTGGACACTAAAATAAATAACTTATTTGACTAGTTTGCAAAACTGTATAAGGTTTAAAGCAAATCTTTATTATTTAACCTTGAAATAAGTAACATAACCTATAGAAAAATCCGGACAAGTATTTAAAAAACGATTTGAATGAAAGAAAATCGCAAATATAAACCTACCATGACATTTATAAGTTTCTTCCCCATTAGAATCACTACAGATAGAACTTTGAGGGTGAATATGAGCGTTACAATCGTCCATTTTGGCCAAGGAAGTTTGTTACATCAACACAAAATAAATAAAAACGGAAAACGTGTAATAGATTACTTATTGCTCATCACCGTCCACTCATTTTCTTTTTTCTTGAATGCTTTGGCTAAAAATTATTATCAACGACATTTTCCGACGTTTCTACTTTAGGTTGGTAAAATATGCATCACCAAACTTTGAAGTTAAATTCGGCAATTTCATTGGTTGAACCGTTCGGTTATTGTCGTGTTTTGGTCAGTCACTAATTTATTTCCTCTGTCCCCAAAAATGTTTTCGACGTGTGGATTCTCATCATAACGTCATTCACTACGCGCATTAATTTTTGCCGTAAGTGTTAAGCAAAAGTTTTAAAAGGGTGCCATTCACAGACCAAACTATATGTGCCACTTTGAGTGTCATAGGACGAAAAAAAGCTCATCAAATTAAAAAAATAAATAAATAAATTCTCCTATTGCCTACTCTAAAATAAACAATTATGTATGGATCAACCGTCCTTGAGTTGAAGTGAACTTTGGGGAGAGTTTGGTTACAGACGGTCACGAGCCACTTCGGATGTTTTCGGCCCTTTAGTCACGGGATTGGGAGCGATCGGATGTTTTCGGTAGGTTTTAGGCATTAGCCATAAATGGTAGGTTCCCAGTTTTCACAGCCACAAAATTATATCCTTATAGAGTTGCTATCTTGTTGAACTACACTGAAGCATGATAAAAGACATACTTTGCTTAATTTTATTAAAAATTTGATTGAACTTTGCATGGTATGAGAAAGACGCTTTATTTTATCATTCTTTTCAACATATATTATTTTCTATAAAACTGTATTGTGTTTGTCTTGCGTTTGTACCAGAGCGTACCAAACAGTGACCTGCGTTTTTATGCACCTACAGACACACTGACCGCCATCAACTACTTATGATTTGTCTCACTTTAAAATATATCGTTCTCGTCGCACTGACTCCTAAAGAGGGTTGTTTTGAAAGAAACGGATATTATTGCAGATTTGCGCCACTTTATAACGTAACTCACTGAAGTACAGATAGATGGATGAAATAACTAACAAATGCGACTGGTTCGCTTCCATATGTGACCATGCTTTGAGGTATGTTACGATGAATGATAATCGCTAGTTAATTGCATATAGCAACTAGATATGGAGGCGCTACTCAATGCTGATAACACAGGAAGTTGTGAAGCGATGATGATTTGAAATCTCGTTCTCAACATCTTTCAAATCAGTTTCAGTTTCAAATCAACCAATGACCGTACGGCATTTAATAACCAACATGTCCGCTGACAGTTCATCCACTTGAGGGTTTCAGCTTAGATATAGCATTTGTACGGTAGTATTTTCTCAAAACGAGTTGAGTATGTGGAGATGTTTCGCGCGCAACTACGAACGATGGTGGGAATCCAAACAAGACACAGGTTGTGTTTAGAGGAGGAGAAAACTCTCCTAATCAGCTGCGCACCACTAAGGGGCAGTCGATTAAGAATACTAGGGGCCCAATTCATTGAGCCCGAGGAACTATCCACTCTCCTTGCAGGAAGTACTGTACTTCTTTGAGAGTAGGAAGATAATGGATCGAACTGAAGTTCCCTGACCATAAAGGACATGGACGCACCGCAGTGAGAATAGGAATAGGCAGAAATTTAGAGGCATGCGTCATTCAATTATCTACGAAAATATTATTGCCGCCTAAAGCTGGTGAATACGTTCTCGTTCAGTGGACTTGGTTATCAGAAGGACTGTAAAAATACCTTTCGAGACTTGGAAATTCTTATATTGCCCTCGTTGTTTGTTTTAGAAAATCTATTATTTATAAAGAAAAATCCGCATCTATTTACTATTTATAAGGAATTGCATGACTATCAAACCAGAGCTCGGGACAATGTGGTTATTACCTACTGCCGCTTGGAAAGGTGTCAAACCGGTACAAAGTATTTTTTAATGCGCTTAAAAATGCTGTTCTTAATTTATCACTTGAAATGTATAAACAAACAGTCAGACGATTTTTATTTAATCAGCATTTTTATTCTTTTGATGAATATTTGTATTTCAATTACAATATACCAGGTGCATTTTACATATATTTTACTTTATTTCTTTTTGTTTGACCTAAGTAAGACCTTCGTTCAAAATGCATTCGTCGGAAATCGTATCTAATAATCACCGTTTATAAAATAATAATTTCCCAAAAGATAGTCATCCATATAACTCAATTAGCGTAGCGTAAGTGAAATATAAGGAAAATATTTGGCCCATTTCTGACGAGTGAAATTTGGACGAAAAAGCATCAAAAGGATGACCGACCTAGGCACAATTTTTACTTCATTATATTTGTTGGTAAAGTAACAAAATCGATTAAATACTTTTAAATTCTTTGTTTGAAGGACTTCCTAGAAGGGTGCTTTTTACAAATATTGAAATCACTCATGCGTCGTTAGTTGCCGCTATATATGAAAAGATAATGTGAATCCATTCTAGTAAACAACTAATTAAAATAATCCGAGTCACCATGGTTTAGCGGGAAAAATTCAGAAAAAAATAAAATCGAAATCTTTTTTTTTATATATATTATGTAGAATTTTTGATGTTTTTTACGAGCGAGATACTTATGCTGAAGACTGGTTGTAAAACGCACCGCGTTTATTATGACAATACGGCAGAACATCTAAAAAATCAACAAAAATTAAAGGAAAACTTATTTGGATTCACTTATACTTTGAAAATATTTTACTGTTACATATACGGTAAGTTTTATATTTTCATGAACAACTAACAACTTATTTTAAATATAACACTCTGTATCTTAAGGCATTTCTGGATTCTTTGGAAGTTTTGAAGACATTTCATATATAATATTCTAACCCAAGTCTTACTATGTTTGGAATATTTTGCCTTTTATGTCAAAAGTGACATTTGCAGATCTAAATATATCAAGATTCTTAAAAGAGGGGACTATTAATTAGGGTGGAACTGTATCTATTAATATTCCCAAGTTTTTCTTCAATTGGACCATGAGTTTTTACAGAAGAATGTTGGGATTATTAAAATATTGCACCTTGTAAATTATTATAACTCTGAGATTACAACAAAGTTAGACAAAAAAAGACTTCTTTAATTTAATTGAGGTTCCTTTTATTCAATACTAAAATTTTAGGTATACAATTTTAATGCTACTTATGAAACAGCTCACTAGATAAGCAGACCTTTTTCTTATTTGGTGAACTTGGTAAATATAAAAACTTTCATACAAACACACAATTTGTATAAACATATACAAATATTTCAATAAATATGCATAAATAGAAACAAAAACTTCAACAATATGAACAATATATTATTCTACATCATGTTGTATATATCACCGTCTCAAAAAACACTAGTGTTTATAAAATAATTTAATAAAAATTGTTTGAAATTTCTCTGAAAGCTTTTTTATAATAAAGGAAAATCAGTCCAAGGTAACAATATTTCATTAGCGAATGCCACCACTGCTTGATTTTCCTTTAGTACATCTAATTCCCTAGTTGTCCCAATACATAAAACACTTAATTTTGTGCGGATGCAAAGCTATCTTCTTCCTCGTCACTATAATCGTCTTGATTATAAATACTATGAAGTGACGACGATGCCGAGCGAGATTCAAAACGCGGAGTTTTTCTAGGAGGAGTATCGTCATCATGGAATGAGAATTCGCCATTTAAGGTGGGGCTACCGGGTGGTGAACCGGGTGGACTTAACGCATTCAAGATTTTGTCTTTGCTTTCATTCCATATGTTTGATAATCTGAAACATGTATTTGATTATTAAAGTTTAAAATCAAATCATTGATAGTAAGTTAAAGGAAATAATTTTTTTGCAAAACAGCACACATTTACTTCCGTAAATTTTACCAAAGTATTTTTTTTGTATGTGTTACCGAGGTTGTGCTTTTGAGAATGTAGTAAGTTAAAATAAAGCCACCCTAAACTTAAAAGTAAAATCCCTAGTGCAAATATGGCCTAACCTTAAAATTGCGTATACATTGGTGCGCAGCACCGCGCCGCGCACGCGCACCGATTAGTCTATATTAGTACCGGTTTCCAAGATGTTGGTTTTTCGACGCTCCCCTTTGTATGTTAGTGGCGCAATTGCGACGGAGACAAAAGAGGTTGGTTGTTTTCCGTGCGCTTTTATTGTGTTTTTGAAGATTTCATGGTAATGAAGTGGCCAAAAAATAACTTGAATAAGCTCATCAATGCCTATTAAAATAAACGCACTTCAAACCTAACATTAGCTCAGTACTATGTGTTTTTTTGAAAAGATCAGTACGCCACTAAAGTCGTTTTCTTCTTTTCTAAACTTGCCATTAAGAGAGCTCATCATTAAAATTGAGTAAGTTCTTCTCGCGTGACAGAGATATGATTACAATTGAATGTTCAATGCGCGTTTGCGGGTTTTCTATGGTTCGTTGGCGCAGCGCACCAATGTAAACGCACTTTAAAGTTCAACACTAACTTATAATAACTTAGCCATTCTAAGATAAGGACATACGGACAGCAAAAAAAAATTAAGGACATTACCTTTCCTTTCCAAAAAGTAATAAAAAGTTTTCGATGAACTCCCTAGATTTTTCCTCCCATTTTGTGATCATGTCATGCTTTCTCTCGCCTATCGAATCCATGACTTTACGACCTTTATCCTTCAGTTCGTGCATTTTATTTTGCAATCGAATCTTTTTCTCACTTAAATAGGAAATGTTTAAATCCTTCGCGGAGTATCCTCGTGCCAAATTCCTCCTCACGTAAATATCATAATCGCGTACAATACGGGCAACAATATCAGATGTTGACACTCCTTCGGTTCTCTCAGTTGCCACGAACATACCCTAAATATGAGAAGGAAAAAAATTATTCACACTTTCAAACAAAACTATAAAGTATCATGTTCCTTTTATAGATTTTAAGATATTTTTACGATTTTTTAAATAAAACTTCCTGTATTTTATTCAAAATTTCCGATAGGTAGCAAGCTATACAGAAGGCGAGAATCTCTAACGAGTATATTGAATTCGATTATAACATTCTTAATTTGTGGATAATTAAAATTCAAGGAAAAAGTTAACGTCAAAACAAATGTCCGAAATAGATAGATCCATAGATAATCTCTATCTATCGTTAAAGTCCAATACAGATCGGTAGATAGGCCAAGTTAAAATACACAAAGTGCTAGGATACATATATCAGGTGTCCCAGTAAAGGCAACAAGGTATGGTATTAAAATTCTATTTTCAAATGGTTACGAGCGATCGTTCCCCTAATACAGTACGTCGTTGCCCTTACTGGGACTTAAGGTATATATCGCCAAAAACATTTATTAGAAACAGGATTTTTTTATTAAATCCTCAAATACCTTTTATCTGATTTTGGACGCTTATTTGTTGTCATAACATATTTCCTGTAATTGGGTCATGTTACCTGTTGGAAATAAAGTGCTATTATAACAGTTTTTATTTTATGTTGAGGATGATCTGATTGATATTTAAATCATGGTACCCTACTGATTTTTGAAAAATTTAACAATTTTGTTCTAGGTTTTTGAGTGATTGATAAAAAAAACGTTTTGTCGTTTTTTAAACCAACAATATTTTTGTAATTCTGAAAGTAATAGATCTAATACAAATTAAGAGCTTGGAACTTGAATGACTTTCATAGAACAAAAAAAAAAAAACTTTTCAAACCAGCTATCAGTGGAGGCCCCTTTGCAATTAGACATTTAATGTGCTAGTTCCTAGGGACGGACACTTAAATGGGGTGATAATTGTCTACATATTTCAGCGATTTTGCGAATTCTACGATTCGTGACACATCACACCCCAGCAGTTGAACACACGAATATTGAAGATCCAATTTTTTGATTTTGGGAAATTCAGAGACATAAATTACAGCTTCTGATTAAAACTTACATCGATAACTCGTTTGGTTTTTGAAATAGGTGAAGGTTGCTATTTTTCATTTTTATTTTCAAAGTTTTTGACTTAGGGAAGAGCATGAAATTAAAAATAACCAAAAATTGGAAAAAGGTAAGTGTTTATGTGTGCAAGTTAACAACTCCAAAAGGTATTGGAAGTGTTTAAGTATATGGGGCAGGGAAAGGCTAACCTTAGTTTTCCATTTTGCATAGATGTCTTGACTATCATCGGTTCCATATGGTATATCATCATGGGCAATAAAATCAATTTTGTGCTTTTCAAAGAAATCCTCATCAACCTCCCACGGAGCGTCACGAACTATTTCGTCTACGTAACGACAATGGCGGACTGCTTCATATCGCTCTTCCTCATTCATTACTGTACGACCCTTTTTGCTGCGAGTCAATCGGTCACTGCAAACTGAAAATATTTGGAAAAACATTTTTTGTGAATCCCACACCTTTCGTGTCGGTGTCGTGTAATAATAATTGTTTTCAAAGAGGGTTCCAATCATCCTGTTGGCTTCTTCACAGCCTAAATTTAAACTATTTCGAGTTTCCAGTTACTACTGATAAAATGCACTTTCAAACATTATTGTGTAGGTCCCCAGGCCTTAAGCGGGATTAGATGTGAGGTAATCTATTTTCAAATAATTTTATTTGACTTACCATTTCGACATAGACATTATGAAAAACACTAATAAATAATAAATATTCAATTGTTTATGTTGTTTATGTTGACATCAATAACAAAATTCAAAAATTTCAAATTTGAAAATTTTAATATTCAAGTTTGTTACAAATTACCAGAAAAAAACCTACTCAAAACGGATACACTAAAAACTAAAAAATCTAGGTTATATTTACGAACTACCATAAAAAGATTCTAATAAAGTACTATAACAGTGTCCAAGAAGTCAACGATGAAACTAACCAAAACTAACTTAAAGTATGAAAGGGAGAATAAAAATGACTCTATAATGACCCAATTTTTGATGGTTAAAAAAGTATTTCAGTTTATGTACTTGTATTTGTATATTAAGTAATTTAAATTGAGAAAATAACTTTAGGATAGGTGGCAAATTTTGAAAAGTTAACGAAGATTTTTTGAAAGCTAATTTTTTTTCAACGGAGGACCGAATAATATCCGATTCATTTTGTGTAACTATTTTGGCCAACGCCAATATATGCTTGAATTTAGAAAATAAATGAGAAAAAGAACTCTTCCTCCGTCAAATTCTCCACCATCTGCATGTGCTGCCACTTATGTTAGTTAGGAGCAAATTGGTTTTATCATGACACTTACTTCCAACAATCAGGTAAACGTTAGGAAAGACGTTTTTGGCTTGCATAAGTTGCCGTGCGTGGCCCTGATGAAACAAATCGTAAATGCCGTCGGCGTATACTCGCACGGGTCTTCCAGCTTGCCCACTACGAGCGAGCTCGTAGCTTAACTTTTTCGTATAGTCACATAATTCCCTATTCCGTTCCGCTTCCGGTTCATCGCTGAACAAAGCCTCTCGACAGGTTGACTGAAACAAGGGTACCACACCCCAATAGGACGTGACTAAGACAATATCTATCCTAAACGATCAGTTTGTATTAAACTTCCCTTCTTAACTATAAAACCCAAAATTAACAACTGCGTACGTCGGTACAAATATGTGTATTATTTTTTAATATACTTCCTCTCAACAAAATAATTCAGAATTCGAATGTCATTAAAACAAACGAGTTTTCGCGCGTTCAAAGCAGCTTTCACCTTTCGATCCAAAAGTGGAAAGAGCTTGGAAACGTGTGTTAAGAAGACCATTTTGACAGGTCTTTCTTCACTTTCGTAAAAAATAAAAAAAAGCTGGTAAGCGAGTAATGCGAACTGAAAGTTTTTTGGTTAGAAAATAATTGATTGATTAATTAAAATTATTCACTTCATTCCCAAATCTGTAAAATTAAAGTTTAAAGTAATGCCTTCATTTTTTTATTAGTTAAAAACCCGAGTTATGCAAGACTACGATAAACATTCTGGTGAAACAACTCTACAAAAGTAGAATGAACTATTACCAACCTGTCTTAACCTACATCTTTTTGATGACCGCTCGTATATTTTTAGAAAAATATATATATTTTTAGAAAAAAATATATATTTTTTAAATTTATACCACTACATATCATACAAATTCTGTATTGAACTTATCGTTGTATCTCAAATATTTTCCGAGATAAAGTAGCATTTGGTCATAGCCAAAAAACAGGAATGGAAAAACACTTATATTATTCTAAAGTTCTCATGTATCGTTTACACCAATAAAGCTTGGCATAATAATTCAAACTGATTTGACCACGACGATTTTAAGATAAACAGGCCACCCTTGACACTTTTGCTCTTTTATCGACAACCCTAACGATAACATATGAAAAATTTACAATTTCATTTTAGTGGCCCTATCTCTCAATAACAAAATATCTGAGACAATTTTGATGCTGTTCTATCTGCGTGGCGTATTTTTAAAAATATTGACGTTCTAATAGTTTATAAGATTAAGCATCAATTCCCTCCTCTTAAAGTGTACAATATAAAAAAAATATATATATATATATATATATATATATATATATATATATATATATATATATATATATATATATATATATATATATATATATATATATATATATATATATATATACACATACATATATATTTACCAAAATGTTCATTTTAATTCTCAAATGAAAATGTTATAAACTAATCAAAAGTAATAGGGCCTTTAGGATTAAAGCGTTATAGAAGACCAGTGAAAATATTAGAACAGGAAATAAATGAAACAATTATTTGTCAAGTAAAGCATAAAAAAAAGAATCCTTGCCAATCAAAATAATATGTAACAAAAAAATATTTCAAGCCCTTACTCTCAGACTTTATTAAAAAAAGCGCACTAAATATATATCAAGTTACAAAATTTTTTTTCACCAAATGTAAATACATATATAATATATTATTTAAACACAAATACCACCACTTTATTATCACTTGACTGAAAAATATTGAACATATAGTTCACAACATTTTCCTACGTTTTGTTAGGTAAATATCACAGTTTTCTTCATCAGTCGATTCTGGAGGAGTAATGGCTCTCAAAATTTTTTTCTTAGAATTATGCAATATCTTTAGTGGCTTTCTAAAGAAGTACAATAAGAAATTTTCAACAACTTCTCTGGACACGTCCTCCCACTTGGAGATCATATCGTCGGTCCTTTCACCCAGAGTATCGATAAGTTCTTTACCCTTATCCTTGAGTTCATCCATTTTGTTTTGAAATTTTAATTTTTTCTCTTTTAAAAAGGACACGTTCAGTTCCTTTGCGGAATAACCTCGGGCGAGATTCCTTCTCACATATATATCATAATTTTTAACTATTCTAGCGACGATGTTAGAAGTTGACACCATATTAGTTTTCTCTGTGGCTACTAACATGCCGCGCCGTTTTAATTCCGCGTAAGTCCCTTCAACGTCTTCAAAATCATGTGGTATATCATCACGAGCAACAAAATCTATTTTATTTTTCTCTAGAAATTCATCAGTATACACTGAAGGAGCATTTCGTAGAACTTCATCTACATATCTACAGTGTCGGACGGCATCATATCTTTCGGCTTCATTTAGTACCATATTTGCTTTGTACGAGTGAATATTTTCGTCACTGCTTACTGCAAAAGTTAGTTTAATTAGGTTTGACAATGCAAAATTGAGTTACTATCTTTCACACAAATGCCTGTTTCCCACAGAATGTCATAGAATAAATTCAGCATAATAAAAAGAGTTGATACTATCGGAACAAGAAGGATTAAAAAAATATGTAATCAAAATATCGAACTGAGGTAAATTTACTGCAAGTGAATTGATATTATAATAACAATGTCTACACAGATACTACAAAATGTTCCTACGGAAAGAGGATCAGAGTCATTTTATAAAAATATATGCCACGAAATGATATTGACGCGTTCTATCATTTTTAAATAATTATAGGCTTATCTCATGAGTAATTGACTGTTTATAAATAGCAAAGCAGATTATTAGTATGCCCAGTGGCGTAGCATAGTTTACAAGCTTCCGAGGAGTCCTCATATTAAAACGATTCAATTCTTGTAAATTGTGAAAAACTTTTCTGTACAAAATTTTGTGCGATGCACAAGGTTTTATAACAACTTCTTCTTGTGACTTAAAAATTGCTTATTTTCTCGTGGCGTGACTTGATTGAGTATAAATAGGTATTATAATTCAGACCTACTCAATAGCTGATAAAACAGAGGGCTCTTTACACCATCGAAAAAGGGCAGTGTCAAAGTAAGTGGACCTGAATAGAACCTGAAATCTCCTGTCCCATTCTATTCACAAATAGACCATTTCAAATAGTTTAATAACATTGCTACAAATACGGAGGAAGAACCAGAAGGGCTGTTACATACATTATTTTTAATATCGAATTTTCAAATTTAAAGTTAGAAAGGATAAAAAAATGCGTAAACTCATTTGCTAATCCTTAAACTCAAATTCGCTATCTTTTGATTGTCTTTGTGTTAGTGCCCGAATTAATGTGGCACGCAGATTCACCTTTTTTTTCTACACTTTGATTGTTAAATGTAAATGTAAGATATTACAGAGGCATTTATTTTAAACATTCAATCTACACAACCATTCTGCTATTTCAGAAAAATATTCACCTCCTACTATCAGGTAAACTCTAGGAAACAAGCTTTTCGCCTGTTGAAGTAACCTAGCATGGCCCTGATGGAACAAGTCAAAAGCGCCATCCGCGTAAACTCGTACTGTTCTCGGGGCTGCGCCCCTCTTCGCAGTTTCCACATCAATTTTTATAGAATAATCACATTCCGCTCTTATTCGACAGGGAACTGGGTCCTCACTAAAAGGGGCAGCCATGCAGTAACCCTGCAAAGTGAAAGCGATATTTTGGACTGAACATATATACGTAAATCATTTTTATTACTTCGTGCTACTAAAATAAAATATGCATGAGAAATATATTTTTTTGCTATAATAAAATATTTTTGTCAAATATGTATATTTACAACAAATATATGAAATTGTTGCGTAATGACCTAAAATAAAGGGAAACACATCACAAAAACTTTACTACATAAATTGTGGCAAAAGAACATATAACAACATTGTACTAGATTGGCTTGTCCCTAATATACTTTAGTGGCACTTACTTTTATTTTTTCACAGCTTTTTGCGTTTTCTTTTAAATAAATAAATGCTTCCTAAAAATCATATTATTACAAAATGGCAGGGTTACTGATATCTTTGGCTACTCCTTTTAGCTTGCTGGTCAATATAGTCAGACAACTATAGATTCAATGTCTTACAAATATGACAAATGACAAATAAACCTAATATATTTTTTTTAAATGAACAAATTTCATAATTTTACCATTACTTACCATGGGAAGTTTTGAAGTTTTCGCCTATTTAAAACTGATACTCACTTTCAGAAAGCTTCACTTGGAATTCCAAGTAAATTAATATAGCAAATTTTACCTGCAGAAGGATTTTTGCATTTGAACATCCTACTTAACATTTACGACGGGTGTCGTTAAAAGCTCATTTGTCATTACATCCTAATTTCATACCTATACATTTTTGGGGCATAAGAAATTTTAAAGACGTCACACAAGGCTCAACTAGTTGAAATTATAGTTACTATAATAATAAATAAATTCTGCAAAAGAAATAAAGAAGGTTCTGATCCACAACTTATGATACAATAATGCGAAAATGCCAAAATTTTAAATTTGATTTTCTATTTTATGATTATAAATAATTTGATAATTACGAATCTCTTGACAGAAATTATATACCAATATTTTACAGACTACTATGGGAAATGGTAATAATTATATTAACAAGTAAATGGAAAATGAGTGTAAAAAGTGTAATTAATTCAATGTTATATATTAATAATTATAATAGTTTTGTGTACAAACCAAGGACAGAGCAAGATCCATGGTTTCTGTATTTGAATTAATAGCGGAAATATGTATATGGTCATGTACTTACAGATGTTATAGGCTCAATATGTTGCAGTATTGGCAATGATGTAACCTCAATTGAATGACTACGTGCTCTTTTTCTCGGCATTGTGTGGTTGATACTGGAGTCGGTAGAATTTGACTTTAAATCTAAAAGCATTTAATATTTTACAGTAAATCCCCAGTGTCAAAACCATTAAACATAACCTTAACAAATTTAAATGCGTATTTTAAAAGTTTGTGTCTATTAGAATCAAGATTTGTAAAGATTACTTATAAAATCTTACCTAACATCGAAAAAGGGTAATCTATTTCCGGTGAAAAAATTGTTGAACCAAGCGAGAAAGTATTAGTTTTGGACACTTCGATACATAAATTTGACGTTTTGCGTGTGGATATTTGATTTACAAAACCGCACAGTTTTCAAATTTTATAGCACTAGGAATGCGACATTTATCGCAAACTAATGTACTTTCTCTAGCTCCAACTGAACCTTACAATACTCATCTGACAAATATGCAGAGGGCAACACAACTAAAAGCAAATGAATGACACCAATAATAAAATAAGAGAAACCTACAACGTTGCCACATTGTCAAACAATTACCTGTTTTGCAAATCTTTGGGTCCATCTCTCATTGTTATTAAATAGATGTGTGGATTACAACATTTAGTTTTGCTTTTATTAATGACCTCATGAACAATTTAAAATCGCAGTTAACGAAAAAACAAACCCAATTTGGACGGCATTTCTCGATCGGAATTTTTCGTTAGAGCAACGACAGTGCACACAACGCTCACTGCCCCCTCCAAACATTAGCGACTCGTGCAAAAGTATGGTTGACATTAAATAAAGTCAAACTAAAAGTTTTTCTATTTTTGAGTAATTTTCAATGGCACCATACAATTGCAACCCAGCGCATTAGTTCTCCACCAATCTCCAAGTCTAGTTACCGCAATGGTGCTCATAAGCTTGGGTGCTGGGACTGATCTCACCTGTCTGTTTCTTGGTTTATTTATCGTGGAGGTAACCTGGTTATCAATACGAAACAAAGCACAATAAAACTACCACTACCATTATAAAAGCTGGAACAGATTTTTTTTATATTCCACCTCATCGATGTAGCCCTTCCATAGTAGATACTATTATAAGTTTATTAGTTTTTCATGTTAAACCTGGTCGTACATATGCTTACGACGAAATTTATCGATACAGTGACTCACAGCTTAAATGATGCAGTCGCTATAACAATAACTAACTGGCTGAATGTCTCTTTATTTATTTGAAAAGAAAAAGAGAACAACTAATAAAATTAAGTTAGTAAAGAGCTTTTTAAAAAAGTGTGAATTACGTTTTGTCTTAAATTAATTAAATTATACATATATAAACGTCGCAGATTAAATGATGCAAAACAAAATATAAACGAATCAATAGATATGGTGACGGAACCATTGCACATGGCGGACTTTGCTCCTGCCCGGTTCCAAAAAATCTGTAGAAATCGATTCAAATTAGTCTCGCTTAAAGAAAATTTTGTTTTGTACATTTGTTATCTGAAGTGATAGAGGCGTAGTGCCTATAAACTTGGGAAATAATGTTCGTCTTACGCGGATGTACACGGATTTGTGATGTGTTATTTCATGATGTGTATGTTAACACGGTTTCCGGATGTCTTATATTCACGCTGGTAACCAAGCCGGATTTTATGACAATTTATTTAGAAGTTGTTCCCGTTTTTGTATATGTTAGTCAACCTGGAGGATGATGGATTGGTCCAAACCCTTCTTTAAGGAAGGTATTCTTCAGGATTTTTGTATATTGTCGTAATCTAGCCGAGTGATTTTTTGTAGTCGTGGCCATTAGAAGTAAAATCCAATCCAACCGAATCAATAGAGAAAAACAACTGCATAATTTGGCCTCCCTCATTATCGATAACGGCTTGTAGTCTTCTGGGTATTGATTTAACTAATTTTCTAATATACTGCGGGGAAATTGTGTTACATCCTTCAATAATTTTTACTTTTAATTCATTCTTGTTAGATATTGGGGCACTATTTACTTTGTTTTTAATGTCAACCACAAATTTAGTGACTGGGCTGGTGTCTATAGACAGTTATAAAGCAACCAACTGCGGACCCAAAATGACGTGTGCTTCGTATCATTGGCCATATTTAATTTTTGGGCATTAGCAATCAGATGATGTCTTAATATATCCAAATGCACATATCGGTTCATATTTCCTTCAATGAAATGCATATTACCTACTCCTGCAGATGACAGCCCCATAACATCACTCTACCTCCACCGTGCTTTACCTTAGCTTTAAAATTTTTCAATTTTAATTCTTCTTTAGACTTTCTCCATACCGATATTTTTTCTATCGGATCCAAATAAGTTTATTTTGGTCTCATCGGCAAATATTACTGAAATCGTTATCGATATGCTCTCTAGCGAATGCCAATCTCACGCATCTATTTATTCGGCAAATGAAAGGATTATTTCTGGCAGTTCGACCATGTAAATTATTTTTCCGCGGGTTTCATTGAATTGTTTCGGGGTTACACCTTTCCCCAAACTGTCTTTCCACCTCGACACACATCTTTGGAGCACTTTTTTTTGGATAATTCGATACTTCTCTTACAATCTATCTGTCCTCACGTTCATTGAAGATCTTATTGGGAGGTAACCTTGACTTATTCTCGATCCTATTTTCGTTACAGTAAAGGCTTAATGATATGCTGAACAGATGACGGACATTTATTTACCATTTTGGCTATGTCTCTTTGCTTGTATTCATTTCTGTGATGAGTAATAATTAAATTTCTCTCAGAAATTGTAGTCCGATGACCCATTTAAAAAAATCGCGTTAAAATGTTAAACTAAACAGAAAACAATTGCAGTAATAAATAAAAGCCGCCTTAGTAAATTTCAAACTGATAAGTTTCGACCCCGGTTATTATTTTTTCATCATTTAAGCTGTGACGTTAATATTGCATATCATCTAATTAAATCTTTATTGTTAACTAAGTAAGGCATATTTACGACAAAATGCAATTCACACTTTTTTTTGCCAAATAAATAAAGAGACATTCAGACCAGTTAGCTTTTGTTATAGCGACTGCATCATTTAAGCTGTAAGTCACTGTATATTTTGATGATTTTTATTTAATTTTTTGCTTAGAACAAATTTAAATTTCAATACCAACTCACAAAAAATCAAGACTTAATTTTTGGTTACGCCGCTGAGTTTCGGCGAAAATTGAAGGGGTAACCGAACGTTGCGTGATGTGACACCCCTTAGTCGTTCAATTCGTCCATATTTTTTGTGAAATAATTAATAAGACAAGATGAAGTATTACCACGGCTATGCACTCCTCTGTCATATTTTCGTGTTCGGTATAAATTTGGAGTAGAAACTGTTTTTACTCCTGCTTGGAAGCTGTCAGTTCTACGCATGTCGCACGTGTACGTGTAACATATGATTGTTGATGACGTAAAATCATTCGATGCTTTAAGTTGATCCACGTCTGCTGATGTATTGCGACGTTGTCGGGTTGGTACCGAATTGCATACACACGAAATTATATATATAGAGGAAAAATTATGGCATGTTAGGTAAACCGTCAAGTTACAACAAAACCACAATAGATGCTGTATTTTTTTTTATATTTTATATGTTCAGTGACCAAAAATATGTTTAATAGTCGAAATTACAAAATCTACGTAAGATATAAGATATGATCGATGAATCAATAATAGGTTATCTGTATCCCCCTATGAATCGGGTCAGTTTTCAGCAAACCTCTGCAGTGTTTACATTTTTTTCATCAAATACTGTTTCATGTGTAACTCGTTAGTTATTTTTGAAAAACATAACTTACAAAATAATAAGTTATCTTTTTGCTATGAAATGGACTTTTACATTTACAAAATGCTTATATCGGGTTAAGTCTTATTAATACTGTTTACGTAGTTTAAATTTTTGGAATTCAAATAACGTAAGCACAAATTATGACAGAATTACACGTTATAGAAACGTTGTTGTATTCGCACAATATCGTTTTGTGGCAGATTATCACAGTTCCTCTTTTGTTGTCATGTAAGTATGCTAGGGTAGCAAATAAGGCAGGTATGCAGTTTTCACATTATTTATTTATAAATGCAATAATACTGGGAATTAATCTGTAGTGAAAAATATTTTATATATACAGTCCTCTTAGAGGATAGTACATAACTGGTAGTCGATGTTTAAATAACTTACTTTAAATCATCTAATGAGTGGTGGATTACACATGATTCAATTTATAATTTATAGATTAGAGATTTCAAATTTGGTAACAACACAGATTATCCATTTTAATAGATAATTATTGATATAACGACTTCTTATCTAATTGTTTCAGTTCTTTGACACTTGTGCACAAATCACAAAACCAGTACAAGTCAAGCTTTAGTAAGGTCGTCTGAATAGTCCGCCAAAAAGGATGGCGTTTTGCACTTGGTCATAAATAAGATAAATGAAAGGATGGTTGCATATAAACTGAGCTGGCTCGGCGGGCCTGCTTGATCTAAAACTAAAAAGCACAGTGGCAGCGGCAGCCTTAGTACCTTCTTCGTTCACTTCTATTCTGGCTTTGTGCAGAGCATTTCCAAGATGAAGTTTTCCATCTGTTAAGGCTGTTAAATTTGCCGAGGACTGGAATAAATTGCCAATACCCATATGTTCTAATGCCTAAAAGAATAATTGTGAGATAAGTACCTACGTCCTTTACTTACAGCCAAGAAACTTTTGATTAAATTGTTAAGTAGTGACAAAGCTTGATTATTTTAATGTGTACTTACATTACTTACTTACTTACATGATATAAAAGTTTTTAAATAGAAATTATGCAGGAGGTGGGGGGTTAACAGAAATAAACAGAATCTCTAAGTAGTTATAGTTTATTATAAACTATGATATTGACGGCTTTCTGAATACTCCAGTAAACAACACTGTGTGCGTTTTTCCATTATAAATAAGATAAATGAAAGGTTTATCACATCTGAACTGAACAACTTCGTCCTCATCAGACATTCTCCAAGTCAAAAAAGCAGTGGCGGCGGCAGCGTGGGCACCGTGTTCATTAATTTCAATCTTCGCCTTGTGGATCCCCTCACCAACAGATACTTTTTTATCGGTTAAAGAATGGAAATCGGCGTTGTCTTTGAAAAGGTTGCCCACACCGAGTGACTCAAGAACCTATAGCGTGCAAAAAGCAGTGTCAGTGCAAAATAATCAAAAAAGCAGCACCAAAATGACAAAGATAAGAAAATATGTCTTCTATTGTATTCCAGAAGTTACTTGTTTGTGAAGTCCTGTCCAGGTAGTCGTTTTTTGTCTTATAAGATTAATGATTAAGTAAGTAGCGTCGAATTACATAGAGTGAACCATAGAAGCTACTCAGCAAGAGATCATTGAACGCAAATTAGTGAATAACATCGATGGCCTTAGGGTGTTCATCCTTGCTGAAGTTAATAAAGAAGAGTTTGAAAAGGCTGTAAATTCTCAGAACCCTACTCAGACATGAGATAGCTGCGCTGCGAAAAATTGCACTGCCTACTGGTTAATTTACTGTATGAAGAAGTAAAACTAGTGTTGATCGCGGTATGTAGCAAGGTAGCCGACCACCAAGTTAAATTGTAGGATTTCCTTTAGCAAATTGCAAACAAGTTATTAACAACTAAAATCGGTTTAGTTCACTGTTGCGTCACTGCGTGCTCGAGAGGCTCCCTAACCTAATATGCATCAAGAAAAGGA